TCCAAGGTCATTGAATTTCAAAGTATACACGGCTCAATCTCCAAAGTCTGACAACATGACCCAACCAGTCACATCAGGTGCAGGCTCAAAACATATGTGCTGGCATAACGAAATCCTGAAATTCCACCGTAGAGCCGCACATTGGATAGTTCATAAAAAATAAATCAGATTTATTGACAGTTCATACCATCCAAGAACACAGAAAATTATCCCACACCGATCCTATAGCCTATAGAGACTATAACATCATGTGGGATGATTGTACTGTGTACTTGGATGGTATGAACTGTCAATAAATCTAATTTTTTTTTGTTATGAACTGTACGATTTGGCTCTACGTCGAAATTTTAAGTTTCCAAGATGTCATTCTTAGTTGCTTCCTTTGTTCAATGGGAACCATTGTGGTTGCTCTGCTTTTTTTGTAACCACAACTGCTATTTATGATACAACTAAAGGGAAAACATTTTTCTGCATTTGTAAAGAGTGACAGAAGGGTGAGGCATAGAAACCCTGTCAGGGTTTTATTGCCATTTGTGTCCACATTAGGGAAATGCACTGAATCTAGCTGTCCTGACCCCTAATATCAACATAAATGAGACCTGCCGGCCAGCTGCTTTCTGGGCAAACAGTTGAATGGGCGGTAAGAACATATCTTCCGATCACGATTACCCCTCTTGATTTACATGAACAGGAAAAAATATTCAACAAAATGTTACTGTCCACAGATCAGCTTCCCAATTTGGAGGGATTGTCAATTTGTGCATATGCAGTGGCGTAACAATCACCATAGCGACCCAGGTGGCCGCCATGGGGCCCGGCCAGGACATTCCTGATGCCCTGCGGGCCGCCTGGGTCGCTATGGCATCTCACGCTGCTGGCTGTCACTGGCGGCTGTGAAGAGAAATGTGCCGCTGTCCAGATCACTGACAGTGATCTGTGCAGCGGCGCGTTCCTCTCCACAGCCGCTGCTGAGTCAGTGAGAGCCAGCAGCGGCAGTGGAGCAGGCTGGACCCAGCAGTGGAGGAGGTGGGGCCCAGGATTAGCATCAGTGGAGGCGGAGCCCAGGATTGGCATCAGCGGAGGCGGGGCCCGGCGATGGGCGGAGGAGGCGTGGCTCATTACCGACGGTGGAGGAAGAGGAGGCGGACAGGTAAAGGGTGTGACCAGCCCACCTGAGGGTGACCCTGCAGAGCCCACCTTAGAGAGTCTATGGTGGGCTCTGCAGGGTCACCCTCAGGTGGGCTGTGTGGGATCTCAATTGGGCTCTGCAAGGGGTGTACCTAGCGCTGAAAAATTTTGTATGGGGCCCTGTGATTTCTGGTTACGCCCCTGTGCATGTGTATATCTGACTGCGCTTGCAGGTCTATGGGTGTCCTAAAAGCTTGTGCATATCCTAGAGTCACTGCAGTTTAAATACTTCCACTGTAGAAATCATGCTTGCACTGATAAAAGTATACACATTCAGAGCAGCAATATACAAGATGGATAAATGATTTTGTACTCCGTTCTACCCATGCCAGAAGCTGTGAGGAACAAATTTCTGATGCTAATTTAATTCTAAATAATTTTATGATCAGTGTCTATTGTAGTTTTTTTTTAAGCCTCAGGATAGCTTTTAAAATATATTCACAGAAGACAAGCTATTGTCTTTTTTTTTTATTGAACAATCATTGAAGCAGTATTAGAAAGCAACCATTACCTCAGAGTCAAAATCCGCCAGGATCCAAGGAAAGACAGGGTACTGCATGAGGTCATTGTATGATCGGCCTGCCAGAGTGTTTAAATGCATCAGATACTGGAAATTGCTGATTTCTCCCCTCTGTGCAAAGACAAGAGCAGAAGATTAACCAAACAGTAGGAAAAAAAAAAGAACATTCGGTTTGGATATTGTATGGAGATGATCTCTAAGGTGATGCTATGAGGTAAAATGGCACACAAATCACATAACAGGCAGGGTGACAGATCTGTGAGTCACACTGCGTGTACCTCAGCGCCAGTTTTAACTCAAAGCAAAAAAACAGCATGGCACTGCTTCTATTGAAGTATGCTTGCAACAAACAGAATCAGAAACAAAAAACCATACAGAACCAGACAGGCTAGATGATCAGTCTTTAGTGTTGGTCCAGTAAAGTAATACCTACACACGTTAAAAGTAAACCTACACAAGTTCTGTACATCTATAAGCTATGTTTTGCAATGCTTAGCTTGGAACACAGTGTCTGGACACTGGTATGGAATAATTTTATGTAGGGATGCACCGTTACCGGTTTTTCTGTATCGAGTACCGATATTTTTTATGGTAATCGCCGGTACCAAATACCAATATCGGAAGTCCCATTAAGGAAGCTGGGTGGCATGTAATGACTCGCCGCCTGGCTTTTAGAATAGCCGAGAAGCCATGCTCCCTTGTCACCAGGTGAGGAGGAAGCATGGAGCCAGCTTTCTGGCCAATCAGGGGGCGGGTAATGACTTGCCCTGGCTTCCTGATTGTCCAGCTTCCTGTCCAATCAGGAAGCCGGGCAGTTGTCATTACACTGCACCGGCTTCCTGACTGGCTGAGAAGCCGGCTCCATGCTCCCTCGTCACCAGGTGATGAGGGAGCATGGAGCCGGCTTTCTGGCCAATCAGGAAGCCGGGGGGGCGGGTAATGACTTGCTGCCAGGCTTCCTGATCACCCAAATACTCAGTATCGGCACTGATACCGATACTGGTGTCGGTACATCCCTACTTTTACGGATTCAATAAAATTGTGGAATTTATTAATCCATGATGTGCTGATCATCCTCTTACACTAGTGCAATGTCCAGCTTACTACTACAAAGAAGGCATTACTCCTCAGTTCAACATAGAATCTCCGACACACAAGTACATATAAGTGGAGGCTGAGAGGAGTCCATGTGCCAATACAGCAACTCAAAAAGGAAAAAGCTGCAAACTGCAGTCCACCAGTAACAACAGCTTTTTAATCCATAAGGCTAAAAACTGCCGGTACACCAAGACTTGCCATCCAGATGCCGCCCACTCTAACACATTTCACCCATTTTGGGCTTAGGCATAGAGAGACTGGCCACTGGCAGTTTTTAGCCTTATGGACTAAAAAGCTGTTGTTACTGGTGGACTGCAGTGTGCAGCTTCTTCCTTTGAGTTGCAATGTACAGCTTGGTTATATAGAAACTAAAAGGGATATACAGATACTGCATGAATTATATAGATAAACCCTATACTGTATATGACAGCTTTGGCCAAATAAAATGTAAAATGTAAAAAAAACTGTCTGAATACTGTCAGAATAGATTGTGTATGGCCATGTTAATGAAAAGCAGGCTCTATAGGGATACCCAATTTTTCTTATGGAGGGGTGTCCCAGTCTGTCTTTTTAGCTTTATCCAGCAATAACAAATGCTTGACAGGAACTGCTAACATTGAGAAATAAACTGTGTGTACGTTTTCAAAACCACAGCAGAGTCACATTGCTCTGATTCCAGCAATGACTGTCCCTGGCTTTTTCTAGTTTGGAACAAATCTGTAACCCATCAGGAGCTTGTACTGTTACAAGGCCAGCTCTGCAGAATCATGAATGTTAGGCTTTGCAGATTCCATTTCTATTTAGATATACAAGTATGAAAGGGGCAGAGATGAGGTCTGGTGGGCCAGAGTAACTCTTAGTACAGTTCAATCATCCACATTACTATTAGGAAACCAATTTGACCATTCTGTATACAAAGCATGCACTTTATTTACCTCCCATCTCTGTGTCACAGATTTTTCTCCCACTAAAGTGCTCAGAAGCCCAGAGCTAAAATGTACATGCAAGAGAAAAGCAAAAAAGAAGGATTAATGCGGAGACTACAAGTCTTTTACTCTAATATGATGATCGTTCCTGTCATACAGTTGAGGGAATTTATCAAAGTTGGAGCAGATAGAATCTGGAGCAGTTGTCCATAGTAACCAATCAGCTTCTCTCTTATTTTCAAAGGTGAATTGAACAAACAGAAAAGAGAAGCTGATTGGTTGCCATAGGCCATGCTCCAAGTTCTACCTGCTCCAGTTTTGATAAATTCCCCCGAGTATGTTTATCATTCCATTTACATTTAAATACTTTGCAAAACATCCAACATGTCTCAAGGGTATACAACAACAAAATAATTAGAATCATTTAAATTATCAGCAAGTTTAGTTTGTAGTGTAGAAAGTGACAGTTGCTGAAGACATTTTAATTAACTGTAAGACATGTGAGGTTTGATTGCACAAATACCAGCAGACAATTTTACAATGACAGCTTAATCCTTCACACAATGCAGTGTGTGGGGGTAACGAAGAACTTATGTTGTCAATATCAGCTCTTTTTTCCCCCCAAATGCCGAGTACTTTGGTGAAGATGGAGAGAATTTCTTTAGTAGCTCATTGTCAGGATGAAGTGGACTATCACAAAACTAATATGTACATTCCAGCTTCTGTGTCAGTGAACCTAAACCTTTAATTTACAAGCCACAAGCAACTTAGTAAGTTAGAAGTACAAAGATTAGCTCAATTGTAGGCAATTCGGCAGATGATTCCTAAAGCCCAAATTCAGCTAAAATATATGCCATCTACTGGATAGAGTAGATAGGAGTTAGAACCTCTCGATGGTTACTGCTGTCCATTTCCTAAAAGATACCTATTTACTCCCTGTTCTGTCTGATAGCCATCTAGGAAGTGTAGTAAATCCCTACAGTAGGGACTAGTCATGTGCAGGGTTTAACCTGAGTTTGCCCAAGTCCGCGCAAACTGTGACTGGCACATGCCCCCCTCAACCATCAAGTTGCGGCAGTAGCATTCCTTGCTCCACAGAAACACGTCACATAGGGGCAGGGAGTTCCCCTGCCGCAAATGATTGGGCCAGGAGGGGGATGTGTCAGTCACAGTTTTGCGCGGGCTTAGGTGAACCAGGCGAACTGGGTTCACATTGAACCCCCGCACATCACAAAAGGGCCACACAGTAATAAAAAGGAGTTGTGCATGAGGAACTCAGTCTGAATAAAGCAATATAGGATTTTTGTACTCCCTATAAAATCCCTTTTTTGGAGTCCATTGAGGAACACAGGGATTTTTGCTGCCAGTGTCCATTTCTCCTGTAGACAGAAGTATAGCCCGACAGCCTACAAATTTAAAGAAGTCCTGTGTCTCTCAGTGAACGATAAAGAAAATAACATGGCTAGCAATAGAAATAAAATGACAATGTTTCACACCCGTTTCCACTCTATCCAAAACGAAAAGTGTTTGGTGAATAATAAAAGCATTAATTTAGACCTGCCTTCCGGACATATGAATGATACTGTCCTTATGTATGCTCCACCCATTTTGTCCATCATATTATAGGGTACCAGAAATATGGAACAGTGAGAAGTGGAGGTGTCTAGAACAAGGTCACAAACAAAATTGCACAAAGCTGTAAAGAAAAAAAAGAAAAGAAAAAAAAGAAAAAAGAAAAAAAAAAGAAAAGAAAAAAAAATCAAGCCTTTTCAAGGAAAGTTCTTTAGCCAGGTTCCCTGAAAAAATCTGCATATACACTATCTTGCCAATAGTATTGGGGCACCCCTCCAAAATCACTGGATTCAGGTGTTCTGTGAAATTTTCTTGCTACTAAATATTCCACGGTCAACTGTCCGTGAACCAACTGTCTGCAGAGTCAACAGCTACAGACCTCCAAACTTTGTGTGGCCTTCAGATTGGCACAACAACAGTGCGTAGAGAGCTTCATGGGATGGGTTTCCATGGCCGAACAGCTGCATCCAAGCCTTACATCACCAAGTGCAATGCAAAGCGTCAGATGCAGTGGTGTAAAGCAACCCACTCCTGGACTCGAGAAGTAGGGACGTGTTCTCTGGAGTGACAAATCACGCTTCTCTGTCTGGCAATTTGATGAACGTGTCTGGGTTTGGCGGTTGCCAGGAGAATGGTACTTGCCTGACTGCATTGTGCCAAGTGTGAAGTTTGGTGGAGGGGGGATTATGGTGTGGGGTTGTTTTTCAGGGGTTGGGCTTGGCCCCTTAGTTCCAGTGAAGGGAACTCTTAAGGCATCAGCATATCAAGACATTTTGGAATTTTGGACAATTATATGATATTATATGCTCCCAACTTTGTGGGAACAGTTTGGGGATGGCCCGTTCCTGTTCCAACATGACTGCGCACCAGTGCACAAAGCAAGGTCCATAAAGACATGGATGAGCGAGTTTGGGGTGGAGGAACTTGACTGGCCTGCACAGAGTCCTGACCTTAACCCGAAAGATCACCTTTGGGATGAATTAGAACGGTGACCGCGAGCCAGGCCTTCTTGTCCAACATCAGTACCTGACCTCACAAATGCGCTTCTGGAAGAATGGTCAAACATTCCCATAGACACACTCCTAAACCTTGTGGACAGCCTTCCCAGAAGAGTTGAAGATGTTATAGCTGCAAAGGGTGGGCCAACTCAATACTGAACCCTACGGACTAAGACTGGGATGCCATTAAAGTTCATGTGCATATAAAGGCAGGCGTCCCAATACTTTTGGTAATATAGTGTATTTTGTGAAAGCCTAGCTGAAAAACGTTATAATTTCATGAAATATATCTACAAATACAATTTACAGAGTTATTTTTTTACCTTTGTTGAAGTACAATGAAAATGAATGGAGGCATTGTATCTCTATAAGTAAGGGAAACTGTTGGAAGTGATATTGCACATAAAATGTCAAAATATCAGTTCCAGCCTTTTACATAGAGGCCCGAAACATTAGAGAAACTATTCCAACCATTTAGACAGACGTGTGAATGTAGACAATTAAAAGTGGTTCAGAACACAATGTAACCTCTAGTGAAGCAACCCTTTTATTCCCCCTGACAGAATAATTATACATTTGTCAATGTAAATGTTGGTAACGAAAGACTTGATGATTATAGTGACAGCTTGATGAACATGTCTTCTTATCTATAGAGCTGATCCTCTATTTTAAGGGCTTTATAAATAGGATTTTGAATTTGCTGAAGCATTTCACTGTTCTTTTTTACTTTATTGTCTGAAGTAACAGCATTTATCCAACATTTGCAAAAAGAATCTACCAAACCAAGGACTGAATCTGTCACTTAATTCACTTAAAACCATATACACTGATCTGGAACTTGACTAAGCATTATTTAACACAAAATAGAAAGAAATGATGTCCTATTATGTAATATGAACTTTGCTCTGCTCTGTTCCCGTACGATCTTACTCGCTGTGCTTTCTCTCTGCTCCCTGTGTAACTTATCACATTTAAAGTGTATTTCCACTTTTGCAGCCAAATTGGGATAAAACCTACTTTATTTTTGTTTATATGTTCCCATTCACATAGCATAACTTTAAAAATATATTTTAAAGCTCTGCTAATAGTTTTAAATGCTTTATACTGTTTAAAATTTCTACCTAGCTTCTTTGCTACGTACTGTTGAGGGGGCTGTGCAAAGTTATGTTTACTCTAAATAACACTGTTTGTACTGTGCTGGCAGATTTCATTATCAGTTGTAAACTAGATCTAAACAATGTCTGTCGTAACAAGAGGTTAAGGATTTAGAGACATTGGGGGGGAATTTATCAAAACTGGAGCAAATAGAATCTGGAGCAGTTGTCCATGGCAACCAGCTTCTATCTTCAGTTTTTTCAGCAAAATGAAATAGAGAAGCTGATTTGTTGCCATGGGTAACTGCTCGAGATTTAGATAAATTCCCTTCATTGTGTGTTAATAAGCATGAAACAATTCCTACACTTTGCCTCAGTGCAGGAGTTTCCTGTAATCAAGACTGATTACTGCTCTCTCTCCTACTGCAGGGTAACTGATCTTGTACCCGCCTCCCTCCTGCTGGGGCCGGGTCTCCTATTTTTTTTCCTTCCATAAGCTTTATTATTTTCCAAATTATATAACATTTATACAAAAATAAGTTAATAAATAAGAAAAAAAAACACCACATAATTATACCATTAACATGCCATCAGAAAAAAATGATTAAATCCACTTATCTATTGGGCTCATATTATACTATGATTCTTGCTATTTAAACAAACATGTGATTCACCAGTCAGGTATCATTTATTCCTTCTTCAGATAAGAGCCATTCTTTCCAGAGTTCCGTGAATTTCCCTGCTTTTCCTCCATGCCAAAATAATAACGATTTCCTTTCCAACATTATATTAACCATTTTAATGCAGTGCTTATACCTAGGTGGACTTAGGTGAGATCCATTTCTGCACTCAGTTTTCTAGCCATAAACAACAACCTAGTGAGGGATAATTTCTGAGATCCTGTGCCTAAGTCCTCGGGCAGAATTCCCAGAACACAAATACTCGGGTCCATCTCCAGGTTAACTGAATATATTTTATCTATCATTTTAATTATATTCTCCCAATATCTAAATAATTTAGGACAGTGCCATAATAAGTGTATTAACGGGTCTTCTAAATGCCCACATCTTTTACAAGAGGGAACAGTGATGATATCCTGCTACTATGAAATGGTAACACCTGGGTTTGTAGAGGCATTTAGTTCACTCAGACATCACATTGCAGCAAGAAGGTCTGACTGATGCACAGTCTATCTGTAGTCATTATAGCTGTGCATGCATATGCATGGTTCTCCCCAAAGACAACTGATGTCAGCTTACAAAGAGAGATAAATAATTAATATGAAATGTTACACTCCAAGAAACATTGCTTGGACTAATTTCTATTTACTTAAAAGCAATTAAATCACACTAAAGTACCCAAATAATTCAGTAGTTACTAAGGCGTAACATTATAGGCAGGAATTTAATGCAATATCTGTGGAGGGTGACCCAGGCATGGAGCTTAAATATCAATGGGTAGAATCTCTCCCTACAAGAGAGCCAAAAGCTACAAAACGGCAGTGTCTGTATTAAATTCAAAAGAAGCCACACATCCTGATATGATGCTGAAAAGAAATATACATACCCTTGCTCTACACTTGTGTTTGGGCGCTGTCCGGAAACAGATTCTGAACTGTCTGTCAAGGATGGCACAACTGCCAAAAACCTGCACAACAAAATATAATATCCCAATTATTGGACATTTGCACATTTGATATACTTGATTTGTACACTTTTACATTTCCCCAGAACTGAACAATGCAAAACAATTACGAACATTATAAAGTGGAGCACCTCAATAAGCTTAAAAGCATGTTTCAGAGTCCTGAATATAAAAGTACATGAACCCGCAGTCAACATGCAATGACAGTCTACTGCAACCATCATACTGCAGCAGTGAAACTTCAAAGCAACAGTGGAATGGAGCTTTTTAATCAAACTATGGGGGATAGGGACCCTCTATGCAACTATTCAGAATGCCAGGAGGTTTCTATTTTTTTCCCTTTAAATACCTTGCAGTATTGAAGTCACATTAAATTCAGAAGTTAAATCTAAAAAATGCTTTTGAGTACCCTAATTAGTGATACACAGATGAGCTACATCCTTTTGGAGAGTGGCTACTTTTGTTCCCCATGATCCCTGTGTGTTGTAAAGTAGCCACCGCTCCAAGCTCACTCCTGTGATGTACTACAATATCAGTACAAATGAGATTGCAGTCCATCATGGGAGTGATCTTGGAGTGGTGATTGATGAGATGGTTTGAGGATCTACAGCTGACTGATCTACATCTACAGCCGACTGATCCAAAATAAGCTACATTTTTGTTAATAGGGTACTTGAATGCATTTCAAAGTTTTAACGCCTGAGTTTAGTGTCAGTTTAACTACAAGCTCAGAGTTTCATCAACAGGATGGTACATGGCATCAGTTTCTTGTTGCAGAAAAGAAAACTGTTAGAGCTTGTGTTAAAAAAGTAAATGAGTATACAAGCATCTTAAAATATCTGCATATTTGTGGCAGCAAACCAATGTACTATGCTAGCCATCAGTAGATTGATCAATAAAGTGATCTCTTTTTGTGGCTACCTGAAGAGATGAAGAGGAGTCTAGGAAAAAAAATTGTATATTAATATTTTGTATATAAATTTGTATTCTCATTTCAGCCAGTAGGTGGAGCTAAAGCGTTAGTTCACATGTTTAAGGCTATCCTTCTCTATTTTGTTTACAGAGGTCAGTAACCCAAGCTTACATGCAAGATAAAGGAATCCGAGTGATGATTGCCAACACAACTCTCCAGAATCTTTAGACTCTCTTTAAACAGACAGAGGCAATATAGAAGTATACAGCTCTCTTTAAAAAACCCATAATACTCTGCAAATCCTGTGTCATGAGTGCAGGCCATTCATTTTTGTAACAAATAATTTTTATACACAGTAAAAACGGCATACGCTTGTAAAATTGACCTAAAACCATTATAATTTCCATTAACTGAAATGCATTTAAAGCATCTTTACATCTGCTGAGCTGCAACAACCTGGACATACCAACCAGATCGATCACAGTGGCCAGGAGCGGTCTGCTAAGGTACTTAGGCAAAGTATAGCACTATAACGCTTGTCTATAATTTATTTCACCGATAAAGTGAGAAGTGTACTTTACATACTTACCTTTGGTAAACTTTGTTTCGAACACCTTTTTGAAAAGATAGCAAATAGTTGCGCCCATCTGCTGAGAACACTTCAACTGCAATCGGCTGCATGCGAGACAAAAAAGAGAGCCATTTAGCTTTAAACAAAATACGCAAGTAAAAATTAATAAAGTAAGCGCACAGAAAAATATTACTGATGAGGAAGTGGAGTGGATTTATATAGATTTATATCTATAGATCTATATCTACATATAGATAGATATAGATATATATATATATATATATATTTCTTAATCACATATGTATAAATGTGCAGCTGTCAGTAAAGCCTTACATGATACATATTTACACATGGGCAGCAGAGAAAGTCAGCTCATATGTCCATGCTGAGATTGTGCCTAGAGCTACTTCTTTCAGCTAACAACAAATAGTCATCAAGCGTGCCTTAATTATGTCCTCTATTTTTAACCTTAGCAGTTAGACAGGTTTTGTTTTTTTTGCATGCTGGCTGGTGAGTGTGCTGGGAAACTTTTTGCCGTTGTACTGTTTAAAGCCCTTCCATGTGCACCTTGCTTTAAAGGTGGTTATGAATTGATGAGTGCGTTTGCCATTTGTTTTACTTGACTGATTTGGTGCAGTGACACACTGGGCGTCTCAGCTGCCATTGTGATGTGCGGGGTCCCTTGTGTGTCCCTGTGCCTTTAAGGAGGTTGGGCTTCCTCCTGACAAACCTGCACCCAATTTTATGTTTTGCTACATGTGCTCCAAGATGGAGACTCTCATAGGTTAGAGTTAGGACCGTACTACACAGAGCAGCCTTGACGAGGCATTGTGACTTCCACATTTTCTGCAGAAGACGTGAATCTAAACCTCTGTTTTTAACCTTAGCGGTTAGACAAGTTTTTTTTTTGCATGCTGGCTGGTGAGTGTGCTGGGAAACTTTTTGCTATTGTTAATTATGTGACACACTGATTATGCCAACACAAAAATGCTAATTTTATAATTACATCACTGATGTGATTTTTATATACACTGTGAAAAATGCAGTATTGGCTCGAAAAGACTTGGTGGGGCTGGCACAGTATGCATTCTATGGCTCTCAAAACAATAACACAGACATCACCCTTTCTCTATCCACAGCTCAGCAGACATCTAAAATGGTGTATAGAGAGCTGTAGGGTGGATGTAGGAACACAAAGCTAATCCCTAACAAGCTAGGCAATTATAGGCAGCATTTGTGCAAAAAATAGGACATATGCAAATTTCTACCAAATCCTCTCACTGATTTAGTTCAGCAGCATTGGTTAAAAATACAGGTATCCTTTAAAAGGACAAATAAAGCTACAATACAAACTTCCATATGGAATGATATTATTTTAGAATATAGACGGTCAGAAAATGTAAAACCATAGCATGCACTCCTACACGGAACCCATTTATAAAGTGTGAAATAGCTCTTAATCCTTTACATGAACCTTAGCTATATTTAGCATTTTATTTCTATAATAGCTTCAGAGAATTCCATTAGGAATGATCAGATGCTGACAAGAACACTTTTTTACATGCATATCTCCCACTAAGTGCTTGCCTAGTAAGCTCTTAGTAGATGGTCTCTATTTTCTCTCGTCTCTTATTTTTCACTTGAATTGAAATGAATAGAAAATTATCTGATGTGATTGTTCTCACTACCCATGTACTCAATTTATAGGAGACAACTTTGTGTTTTAGCTTTTTTTTTTTTTTATTTCAAAAAGCACAGGATGGGGAAAGTCCTTGAAGTATATTTTACTCATGATGATCTACCTGTAGAAGGTATCTTCTTTTGTGAACTTCTTTTATATCTTCATAGGCAAAGATGCTGCAAGTTCTTCTCAGCTGATTGGGTCCTTGCCTTGCTCCACGAGGAATAATTGGCTCATGCATACTAAAGAAAGAAAGAAAGAAAGGTCTTTTAAATCTTAACAAACAACAAGCACATAGGGCCAGTGTCGACAGGCTTTTGTCTGCGTATCTCGCTATATAAGCCTATGGCAATACAAAAGTAGATTAAAGCAGGTCAAATGCACCTGCCATTATTTCTAAATAGACTCAGACGCATTTCAACCGGACAACAAGCATGCTGCATTTTGCCATCAAAACCTGCTGACCCATAAACATTACTGCAACATAAGAGTCAGTGAAAGCATACAGTATTGTTCTAATATTCTTCTACCACAAACCACCCCAAAAAAGATTAAAGCTTTCTTTTAAAATAACAAACAATGAAAATGCTTTTAAAACTGCAGTAAAAAAACCTGTTGCTTTATCTGGAAGAATGTTTTCCTATGTCTAGCCAGTCACATTTCCAATACAGAGGCATATTTGTCTGTGCTTGCCTGCTATGTGTTGACTGGTGAAGGGACATGGTGTGAACAAAGTCCTTAACAGCCTCCATTTCCAGCCATCTCCAGGTCTGGATGCTTTTCTGCAAACGAGGCAATGTGCGTTTTTAATACATTCCAGTGCGTTTTAGTCTCAATTGGCTCTTAGGAGCATTCCAGTGTGTTTGCATGTCTTTACATGCATTTTGTGTGTTCCAGACCAAAAAAAAAAAAAAGTAACATGCTGGACTTCCTTTTTTTCTTTTCTTAAAGCTCTGCAACTGAAAGCAGTGGTGTGAACTACACTCAGAAAAACAATTGGAATCTATGGGGATGCATTTTTGGACCAGACAAAAAAAAGTTCTGGTCTGGATTGGATCTGGAGATGGTGTGAACAAGCACTCAAAGACAGGAGCTATGCTCTTTTGGATCGCTGCTTTTGGACAATTCTTTTTAAAGAAAAGAGGCCTGGGTGCAGATGTGGAATGTTTCTATATAAAAGTGCCTGCGAAAACAGTGCCCAATTAGTTATATAACAAGGGACCTTTAGCTGGTTTAATGCCCCATCATTGTACAAACAAAAATTTAGACTGGGCACCTACTTGTTTTAATGCATGTGATTCCATTTGACATTAATAGAAATACACAATAATGAATGTCAACATACATGCACACATTGTCATACACTGGAATACATGCTGACTTGTGTTGACATGAAATGCAAAGTGTACTGCAACAAATGTGTCATGCAGTTCCATTATTGCAATAGAAAATACATGTGGCTTAAAATGGAGAGGTGTGAATGCAGCCTTAATGTTCCATCAACCAAAAACTAAGGCTAATCTGCTAAGAATTTAAATTACAATTCGGTTCTAAGAATGAGAATCACTTACTTCACTGGCAGGGTTTCAATGTCGCGAATCTCCCTGTTGGCTGTCAAAGTAAACCCATCGACCACATAGAAGTGTTCCTTTCCAAAGAGCAGTAGGCCTTCACCGGTGTCTAATCCTTGGACTCTCGCACAGCGATACATGTGTTGAATCTGAAAATTAGTCATTGAAAGTTACCTTTCATACATATTCCTATTGCTCTTGAAAAGCTTCTTGTAGTATGCTATTGCAAACTTCACATTCATTGAAAGACATATTGTTTCCTTAAAAACCAACACATAAGTCATTAGAATTCCAGCATTTTGTAAGGTGTGCAAATAAATTATACTGACCAGATTATCCAGCTAAAATAATAATTACAAAATACGTATTACTGCAAATGTGGGTTGGAAGAAACAAGAAACTAGTACCTGCATGTTCTCCCTACATTTGCCTCATTTTTCTCTAAAAAAAACTGCAACAAACATAGTTTAAGAAATACCACATGAACCCCAAAACAGCACAGGTATTTTATCCCAGGTATGCTCTGTGTTCCTTGTTTCCCTATTAATGAATTATACAAAAATAGTTGTACTTGGCTGCGCTTGAAAACATGAACAGCAAATTAAGTCTATTGCATTCTTGATGTCGTAGTTTAAAAAACATTGTTTTGAATAACAGATTTGTATTTTCTGCTTGTGGTTACTTTAACATATTTCCACTTTATCTTAAATGTCAAACCTTACAACAAATATCACCAGCCAAAGAAAACTATACATTTATAAGTATGATTCCAGTCTTTGCCAGCAGGTGGTGCCATTCTATCTGTTTTTTTCCCCATATAGTTAGAGCAAGTGTGTGATTTAAAGGAGAATTATGAGGCGAGTGATTTTCACTTAGCCTCATAATCTGAGCCGACCTGTGACAATGAAAGTGTCACAGGTCGGCTCAGTAGAACACATACTGTCGCTCGCTCACTCACTTCTTGATCTATCCCTGCAAAGAGCCGTAACTGTCACTTCCCCCCCCCTCCCATCAGATCCTCCAGCGCTGACTGGCGAAACGGACAGGGGAGGGGGCGGGCACAGCTGGCTCTGCCTCCGAATAGGCAAAGCCAGCTGTCAATCCCGCAGCTGGGTGGATCCAGACCGTATTGTCGGGATCCATCCCGGCTGCAGCGTCTCAGTATAACGCGAGCTGTAGCTCGTGCTATACTGAGCTTTGGGTCACGGGAGAACACTAGTTTGTGTTCTCCATTGACCCTTAGGAGAACTATGGGGAAGAGCCCTGACCCCATAGTTGTCCTTTAATTTGAAAATAAAAATATGATTAATATAGAATCAAAGAGGAAAAAAGAGCAGCTAAGAAATCATAATGGGCTTAGAAAGAAAACAGTTAGATTTATAACCAGTTATATTACAAATCAGTTTGGTCACATTTGTAGTACCTTACTCCTCTGTTGTATGCGCAATCTGGGGTTTATTTTCTGACACATTATATTGCCTGGCTCTAGTGAATAAAGGTGACTCCAAAATAAGCAACACATTAATATGGCTAAAAATACATCTGGTCATCATAACAGACAGGATATTAGCATTTTTAGGAGGTTTGAAATGGCAGCCCATGTATTTTTCTCCTAGCAGAACTCAGGGCAAGCAATAAAATACATATGGAACCATTTTACTTCCAAAAGGATTTATAAATCTGTGACTCAGAAAGTTTTCACTGAAGGCAACCTTGGCTTATATATTTTTTTTTATTATGTACTCACTTGAGAAGTTGCCCATGTATGTGATAGGATTACTTTAAGTGCTGAGCTTTACTCCTTCTTTTACCAAACCATCGCTAAACATGTTCGTCCTCATACATATATGTTTAATTTTTGAAGTCTAGTAAAATCATCCACTCTACCTTCTCTCCTTCTTCGAGAAGTCTTAGCAGAGTGGTACTATCCATCTTCTCATCTTCATCTATGGAAGACCCTTCAATCAGCTGGTCCTGCAAGTGCTCCTGATTCTCATCTTCTCCTCCATCTGGGGCTGATTTTGATCGTTTAAGAGGTGCTTTCACAAGGCCTGATTCAGACAACAAAATGCACTGGTAGTAAAACTTAGGGTACTCTCCATCTGAACATAATATAAAACATTGGGACATACCAGTACAGGAAATCAGCTATTGCACAGATACATGGCCTGCTGATGTCATCATTGTCTAATACAGGGCCAATAGCCCTGTATTATATGCAGGGACACAGAAGGGACAGTCCAGGAGCCAGAGCAGAGGGGAGAGAGGTGCAGGCCAACTGCCAGGGAAGCTGGAATAAAGCGAATAAATGCCCTCTTTGCAATGCCCCTAGACATAAACAAACCCCACAGCAAGGGTAGTTTTTTTACCCCGAGATGGGCTTTAAAGTGGATCTGTGCTTTGCCAATGTGTGATGAGCTAGCCCTTTGTAAGCTCCAAGGACTGAACACTCTTTTGTCCCCATGTAACAGCACTGGAGGTCTAAGTGGTGAGTCATGTGTGAGGAAGGTGAGTACCTGGTATTTTTCTTTGTTTGGAATCAAGCTGTATGGAAAGTAAACAATGGTAAATATAATCTGCTGATTGGGCCCAATTAACCCTTTCGCTGCCAAGGACGTACGTCGTACGGAGCTACAAAAGTGCTTCCAGCTGGCCAGCTCAGTACGTCGTACGGACCTGGCATTTACAGTTCTACTATAAGCTGATGGTCGCTTTAGCGACCATCAGCTTGCCCAGCATAGGCAAACCACAGGATTCCTTTAAGCAGCTTTAAGTATGTTTTTTTTAAGACAGAATGAAAAGCTGATTGGAGTACAAGTGCCCACCAACCATAAGCAAGACATAAATATAAGGATTTAGAGCTTTAAGAATTAAACGTATTTGTAAATTAACAAATAAGGACCAACTTTCCCTTACCTTTCACCTTGGCAATGGTGTCTTCCCCGTGTTCTGGCTCATGCTGTGCTGCCTCTCCTTCTGAACTTTCCTCCACTGTGTCCTGGAACACTGCTGGGTTCCCTGGCATCAGGCGCATATAATAATCTTTGCTGTCATAGCTGATAGCCCGGCGGTAGCGGGCAGGTTTCTAAATTAATCAACAATTTAATACCATAATTATTCTGATTTAGAAACACAAGTATGTTTAAAGTAATGTTCCATCATGAAATACTTTTAATGTTCTAGTTTAAAATTAAATACAGCCATGTGATCACAGTAACATTTCATTAATTTCTTTTAAAGCCACCTAATAAAAATTAAGTATAATCATGTCATATACTAGGCAATTCTGTGCCAATTTCAACCAGCTTTTGATCACAAAAACAATGAAACAGGTGATGGCACCCTTCCTTCAATAGTCTGGATCATTCCAAGGTTTTATGGTTTGAGTAGGGGGGTTGAAAGTGGCTGAGAGTGCCATAAATCTTCTCTGTGACCAGCAAAAGAGAAAGCAGATCATGGAAGATAACTGGGTGCCACAGGCATTCTATCGTTCTTTGCGGCAATATGTTTTTTTAAATAAACCCCTGAATGTAATAATGGATTGTATATGCGGCACTGTGAAATACTAGTCCTTTATTAAGAAATACATGTATGAAAGGGAAAAAGAAAGAAAAGATCATACAAACTTAAATTAAAATATCACATTGAGCTAAAAAAATAAAAATAAAAACAACATCTTTAAGGTCTTTCAGGGTCTAATACATTTTATTTCCACATAATTGTTTGCAAGTGGCAATGTGCAGTAACCCACATCACCCAGTTAGCATTATTATTTCATACAAAAGGAAAACTACACTGACATTGCTCATGTATTGGTATTAAATTATCCTTGCAGTTCAAATTGGAGCCACATATGATTCTGCCAAAAAAAAAATCCAATTTTGCTTTGTGGTAATACAGCAGTGTATCTAGAAGTCGTACTCCCTACTTATTTGATTGCTTTTCTGAAAACTGTGCACAGAACTTAAAAATAATTTCCAGCCATGCCAGCATAGCCCTTATGCTTGCTACAGTGAACCTTTCATTATAATAGGCTACACTACTTCTACAAGCATGCCATCCCTAAGTCTGATGGCGCCATTGTTGCCCATCTCAGTACCTATGGAGCAGAAGGATGTAGACATCTGCATTAAAATAAAAAAATCCCTGCAAAGTATATAGCTCAAGAGGCTTGTTATTCTTGTAAATGTAGATTTTTTTTTTAACTTAAAGATATTAAAATTCCCTCTAGAGTTTAGTGGGCTTTTTAAATGTTTTATGCCTTTAGCCTTGTGCAGTAGTATGTTCACTAAAGATACAGATGTATAATGTATCACCTGACAGCAGGATGTATACTTCTAGCTGCATCCTTTGTATTATAATAAATCAGGGCTGGACAAATCCCAGAAGCCAGGTCACCAATGCTCCCTAAAATTACAGCTGCATCTAACTTCTAAGGTTTTCTCTCATTGTTGTCAAGGGAGCTGGCTCCTAAAAAAACCCTGCTGGCTCCTGTATTGGACAGACTGGCTCCTAAATTTCATATCAATGTATCCACCCCTGGGTTATATACCTATAAATAATGAGTCCAGATTATTTATGGCACCTCACACCATTTATATATTTATGTGGACATGCAGCCCAAAACATGGCATTCCACTTTAGGGTATGCATAATTTGGTTTGCTTATCTGTAAAAGAAAGGAACTGGTTTCCACAGCACGTCATTCTGGCATGTGTTGGCATGGCTGTAGCAAATAAGTAATCTTTTCAAACTCTTAAAACAAACATTATATCAGCACTTTGGTATCCCTCACAAAAACAAAGAGACAGTGTGCATTTCTACTAGTTGGAGTGGGCAGCACAAGACTGCTAGCAAGGCACAGCTGTGAGAATACCGTCCAGGAACAGCATGTTAGTGTATGGAATGCAAACCTTTTGTCACATTAATTTACTACAAAGAATACAACCAAGTATTCAGAGAAGCAGGGAGCCCATGCAAAGCTAAAAGGAGCCTTATTCGATATCTGAAAATAAATCTATTACCGACACTGCCAATGTTCACACATAACACACAGCCTAAAAGATAAAGGCCTAAAATACACAGTCTACTGATAATTTACACAATGCAAAAACTGCAGGAAGTATTGAAGTTAAAAGCCGAACTCCAGGAAAATATTAAAAAACAACTTTCAGTCCAGTTTTATTTTTATAAATGTTAAATCTATTTCATTTTTATTTATGAAAAAAAGTACAGAAGGTACAGTATAAGTGCATGCAAGGAAAGTATAGTGTGACAGATGAACCCATTGGGGTTAATTCCGCACAGGAGTGGTGACTGTTCACTTTGAAGTCAATGATAGTAAATAACGTGAACCTGTGCTCACTTTACATACCCAAACATGCACACGAGAAATTAAAAAACAGGACTTTGGGTGACACATGATTGCTTGATTAAAGTGAACACAGTTTTTTTTTTATTATTTATAAAGGCCAGTGGACATTCACTTAGCAAAGTGAACAGTCTCTACTCTTTTAGAAAATCCATCCCAATGAGTACATGACATTGTTTTTGTCCACATTGCTTATAGATATTGCTATTCTATTTGTGCAAGTCAGTTACAGTACATCTATCTTGTTAAAGTGATCATGGAAGTAACAGGTTATAAAAAGTCACATGTCCACCAACTAGCCTCCCTTTTCCTAGATTAACATGTAATTTCATTATTTTAATACTGATGGTATTACTGCTTAAATGTTTATTACATTAAACCTGAACTCCAGCCTTCCCTTCAGTCTTGCACAGTTGTACAGGCTCCTCTCCTGGACTGAAATTGCTTACTCTGATTTCACTACACACTGAGCCTCTCACAATGTGCATTAAAAGCTCTAGGAAGTGAGATAGAGCACCCCTAATTTCCTGGATGGAGGGTGCCTAGCATCATTAAGTTCTTTACTGCTCAGGTTGACTGTCCCTGGTCAACCTCTTCCATTCATTGGATTCCAATTCTTTCAGTCATTGAGGTTCAAGATCACATGTGAGTGTTGCCTAGTCTGCATGCAAATACAGTTTGCCTATGAATGCCCATTCCTCCAGGCATAAAAGGCATTTTGATATTTGTATAACTCCTTCTACTAATGTAGGGTTTCGTGATACTTTCAGGAAGCTATGTGCAGCACCCTGCCAGGCCCTCCCAACAGCCATGACCTGCCTGCATTCACAGAGAAGCACACAAATCTAGTGATGACATAATTGGATCTAAAATGAGGTATGAAATAAAAATATTAAGGTTGTATTTAAAAATATGTCATTAGCATGTTGATTGGGGTTGAGGCACTGGGTAAGGCAAGATATAAGCATATTAAAATTAATATCCCACAAACACACTACATAGGATATTTTGCATTGGGGGGCAGTCAGGCTCGATTGCACTGCACAATGCTGCTGATCTAATATGCTAATCTAATGCCATATTTCAGGCACTAGGGGTTGGAGGGTGAAGATGTATTGGCAACTCACAGAAGGATGAAAGCACAAGAAACCAAGAGATTATTTTGTTTCAAATTGCAGAAAGCTAGAAGGTGACACAAATGTTGCAGGTTTACAAATAGTTGTGACCCCATCCTCGCCACATGGTGTCACAAAAATACGTATATCACAAAAGAGACTGAAGGAAATTAGAAACATTTTGACATGTAAAACAACTTGCATATCTTTCAATGTGCATTTAGCGGTCTTGATAGAGTTATGCTTTGGGATATAAACTTACAGAATTCTAATCTGATTGAAAAGTATCAGGGAACTCCCTTTCCCTGAGGAGTTCATACTCGAAACTTCTTCTGTCACAGGCAAAAAGTATACATTTTTGCCTGTGACAGCATAAAAGAGAAGTATAATTTAAAATACTACAAGAATTTGAAATTCTTACAAAGTTTATAATGTCAGCAAATGTGACATTAGCAGAAGTAAAAGTACAACCACAAAGAAATTACAGTGAACTTATGCAGTGATATTGTTCCATTGTGCATGATAAACATTGTTTGCAAGACCTAGGGCTTCTTAAGAGATGGTTTTCTTCAATTAGAAGAGAAGTCCAAAAAGTCAAGAGAAACTGAATGAATTTTGTTTGATTACATCAGGCATCTTAGAAGGACATACAATTTCAGGTTATAAAAAAGGAAACCATGAATTTCAGAAAGCCAAGAAAAGGGATGGCCTGCCAAAAACTAACTTTTCAGTTTTGTTACAATCTGGAGAGTTAAACAGCCTGGCAATTTCTTATAACTCTGAAGGACTCTACTTGGACATTCGGGTCCTCAGGATCATGAAACACAGGGCACTGATTTGGAATCCTCAGCTTTCCCAGGATCCTGTAGAGTGACAGAACTGATACCTAGCAGGGAGAACTAGAAGCTCTTGCCTATGGGGAGTATATTTTACTATACTATTATTTTTTGGCTTGACTTTTCATGAAAATGCAAGGTTCCACTGGCCAAGTAGCCCCCAAACACCCATGTTAAAATGCTACGTACACGTGAAATCTTCATTCTAAACAATATACTCCTATTCAATTAGACTAGAGTTGCTCTTTAACTGTATTCAATAATTTACTACATAGTGCATCAAATTATTTCATTTCAAAAAGACAAAATATGCATTGGACCCTGGTGCACAGCTATGGACCATTAAACATGCCAAGTCTTACTGTAGACACATTGTAAGTCTGAAGCTGAACATACATTAATAATACTCGACGTTAAAATGGTAAGGCACTAGTGTTGTTATACTGTACATAAGCAGCACAGCACAGAGTGATGCTCTTAGAAAAAGCAGCTTTGTTAGAACATGCTCCAGTGATAATTCCCAGTACAGCCTGTGCATTAAAACTTCACTCCGGTTTACCTTCTCATGAGTTACCATCAAGACACCATCAGAGGTTTCAGGTAGTGTACATGGAAAGTCAGACTAAAAATGGGGTATTAAATATAAAAACATCAGAAAGATATATCATACATGTAGAAGTGAAAACCAATGTTGGTTACAGAGAGGCAGTACAACATAGCAATTAAAGAGAAACTATCAGCAAAGTATCGGTCTTTTAGAAGTCCTGAGCACTATGCAAATGGGGCAAGCACTCTGTAACAACTAAAACTCCCCACCTCTGCACTAAAGATCTCTGTTAGATACATGCAAATGTTGGAATTTTCAGAGGCAAAATTAATAAGTGCACCTGCTTCTTTCAAGGCTGATTTCCTTCAGCGACCATGGATTAAGCATTAGAAATATGCAACCAGAACCTTTATATTGGTTTGTATTGTCCAACGGTTTCTTTTAAAATTTCTGCCGAGGTAATACGATGCTTATAATGTTTCTGGATAACTCTCTCTATTTATGGAGTACGCAAGAGGCTATGTGAATGGCTACTATGAACAAAAGAGGTTCTCTTTCACATGGATCTGTAGCGTTTGTACTCTAGATGGGAAGCAATTAGTCCCTAATATAACTAGCCACTTCATGGAGACAAACTGTCATGAATTTTTGCTCAGGCTGGCTTTTTTCTCCATTTGAAATAACTTAACATCACTAGAAGCCATAAAGACCATGTGTTTTGAAGTTCCCCTGGCAATATCTTAATCTTAGCATTCAGTTTGTTGTAAGGTTTCTCATTAAAAAGGTAAAATTCACCTTTATTTACTTTGAATAGAAAGACTTTGTAATGATCTGAACCTCCACTGCTGAAATGTCACCATAGAGAAGACTTATCTGTTAGGGACTACATTTTTTTTTTATTACCGACTTGTATTCTCCCCTATCAGAGCAGAAGCGTAAGGCTGCCTTATCAAATTCCTGAGCCCAGTGCTGATAAACTCGAAAAGTGTCACATAAAGATAGAAAACAGCTTTGTTACTTACTGTCAGTTATCCATCCTAAACCTATGGAGTAGATAGGTCAGCCTCCATAGGGCCTTACATGGTGACAGGGAGAGAATACAATAAAAGAGGTAAGGTTGTGCTATTATGAAAACTTAAGAGTGAATATTCAGATACTTACAAATGTCCATTCTTGTCTGGTTCCCTATAGCCTGATTAATGAAGGATAGCTAGTAATTGTTTGCCAAGACTTGATGTACATTCTACAGTGCTTAGATTGCAAAAATGGACCTACAGCAGATCAAATTAATGGCGAAAACTACTGGAGGAACTTCATAGCACATGATCTTTGCAAGGCAACTGCAAGCATAATTTTACACACATGCCTTCCTCATCACTAAATATATCTTTCATATATATTTTTAAGAATAATTTATCCAAATCTAGATACATCACAGAGTATAATAAATGATAAAATAGAATGCAAAATTTGTTTGGGGACAGTATATAAACGCAAGAAAATCAGAATAACCCTAAACTCACCATTGTGTTACTGTCTTGCTCCACGTCAGGGACATAAGGGTAATGAACGTAGAACATGTCATTTCTCACAACCTTTTTCCTCATTCTACATGGCCCTTCAGTCATCTCCAGCATCCATTTATCCAAATGGGAGCCAATAGGTGGTCCCCAAAGCCCCCTTTCCCTGAGGAGTTCATACTCGATCTGGTTCCATTCCTCTGTCACATATTTCAATGCATTTTGTTGACGCTGTTAACAAAGCAAATTATATAAAATGAAATCACTAAGGCTTGAGCTGACCATAGATAATGGAAGAAAGAAGGTTCAGTTTGACTGCCTGAAGAATTGCATATATGTTTTTCTTAGACAAGTGCACAAAAAGCTTGGATTGCTTGAGCATGCATATTTTTGCCTATAATGGGAGGCAGCTTTCTCAGGCAGCTCCCATGCCAGCCTATCTTGGAGGAAACCATTAGCTACCAGCCAAAATGATCTAACTGATTTACTAGTCCCTTCACAATCTGGCAGCTGGGGTACCTGGCCGGGTTTGAAGGTGGCTGCAGATATGAGGACTACTACCCATTATGAACAAAAAGGCCCCATGTACACCTGAATACTATACAAACACTTGTCGGCTGCATTTATATATAAAACCGATTGCGCCATAAATATTGGGTATCGCCACACACGCCAGAGTAAGAGCAATTATTCTAGGGCCATTATTCACAGTTCTCTAAACTTATGACCTGTAAAAGCTTTTAAAGTGTCACCTATGGACAATTATGGGCACTGTAGTTTTTCACCATTTCGCGGGTGCACACAATTTTGAACTTGGCATGTTTGGTATCTATGTACTTGGCGCAACCTCATATTTTACCAATAAATGGGTATTCTATTGGGTTTATGTGCACCAAAATGAATTTAAAGTTTTTTTTTTTTTTTACTGAATTGGGTCTGATTAACAGTTGCTCTAAAAGAATGTGAAAAAAAATTGCAACTGCCTCCATTTTACTCTACAGGGTCTCTGCTTTCAGGAACATATATTTCTTAGGGGGTTTAAGTAATTTAAATGTGCATTGGATGTAAAATGGTTCCAAAAACGGCTCTGGCAGTGTAATGGTTATACAGAGATCAGCCGTCAAGATTTTCCACTGTTTAATACTACCCAATGAAAGCATCCAAGGGCATTTCAATGGAAATTGTAAGATTGGCCAGTGTTTCATTAAAATGATTTGATCCCTTAAATATGCAAATGAAAAAATACTGCACGTCTTGCTGATGGAGAGGAGAGGAGCTCCCCATACTGATGGATTCTGTAGTGAAAAGTCTAGGCACCATATATCGATGGTTTCTGTAAAAAAAACAAAAAAAGCTTAGGCAAGTACTAAAAAGAGTAAATGCACGATTTAATTACCTCCTGGTATTCTTTATACTGCATATCCACCAAATCCCTCACAACAGCAATGTGAGTGAATATCCACTGTGAGATTTCCTAAGAAAAAAAAATAAAAAATCATAGGCATTGTATATATACCTAATAGGATCACCATGTAAGTATATGTTTAGCAACCTGCACACAAACAAGATGATGATTTTAACTTTAAAAAAAAAAAACTGACCTCATATACGCAAGTCAGAACTCCAACTTAAAATACAAAGGTCATTTCTAACATGACATAAATGAATTGATGGACGGAAGCCCTTGTCAGCCTTCGAGCTATACTGCTTCATGGACATAAATAGCACTTTATTCTGTACAGGTTATTGCAAAGAATAGCACTCTAGCAACAATACCTGGGTGGAGAGATTGTGTTTATTGAGTCCACTCTCCTTGCGATTTCTTCTTGAACTAGTTAGCTTAGAGAGTCCAAAGCCACTACTGACACGTGACAGCTTTGACTGAGAACTCGGCACCAAAGCTTCACCTTTACTGATGCATTTCTTTTCATATGCTGTTAAAACAAAAAGTATATAGATATGGATTATGGCCCAAGTATTTGTATACAGTGTCTAAGAGGAAGTCAGTTATAAAGCAAAAAGCATCTTCGAAAATGTCCACAATAGTATCAAGAGTGGTGTCGCAGCCGAGAATCATCGTAGCTGACATCTGGGTCTGCCTTTAGAACAACATATGTCTTTGTAATATCCCCTTCGCACACCGTACCGATGTACCCCAACTGGCGGATGGTGCCACAGCATACAATCTGGAAGATCTGTTGTCCGCACACCATTCTGCTTTGGAATGTCATCTTTATTTGTATTTATCTTTATTTGTATTCCTTTAGCATGATATGTGAATGCAACGTTTCAGGGGCCTCACAGGACCCCTTCGTCAGGCAAAGTGCTAAGGGAATACGAATAAAGATGACATTCCGAAGCAGAATGGTGTGCGCACAACATATCTTCTAGATTGCCTCTAGAACAAGCTGCGCCAGTCCCCTCCCTTGTCGGTGGTTCCAGTGAGCTCTGGAGGAACAGAGAGGGGGAGTGGTGAATCCTTGTGGGGAGCAAAGACTGAGTCACCGCACTCTGCAAAGAGAAGAGATGGAGAGAGGACTGCTCTCAGTGTTAGAGCTGGCATGTGAAAACTGCAGCGTCCCACGCCAGCTCTAAGCAGTGGAAATTATGGTTTACTCTGCCCCTACATCTCCTTTAATTTCCATGTAACACACAGAAGTGTTAGTGCTATCTATCCACCACTATTTTCAGCATCTTCTCCTCTGTGTCCATTGTGTAAAGTAACAGAGCAGCAGAATAGCAAAATAAAGCATCGTGCTCAGACAGATTATGTAAAAGTCTTCATAACCAAAGACCCATTACTGGATCAATTACAAGACAGCTCCTTCCCCTTTTGTTGAGGTTTCAGCCATGTTCCAATATTTATTACAGTATAAATACTTCGGTCTTAACAAATTTTACTCAATGAAAAGTTAAAATTGTAGTACAAAAGAAAAACAGAGTACAGAGAAATGAATGGACAAAAAAAACAAAAAAAACAACACAAAACACTAGGCAGTATAAAAGACTAGCACAGCTGGGAATACAAAATAATAAGCGCATACAGCTTAAAAATAAAAATTCTCTCACCGTGAAATGACTTACCAAGGTGGTTTTGCCAAGAACGCAATGCCGCTTCCTCAATAAAAGGCCTGACAACTGCAATATCCACATGTCCTCGGTCATTGACAGGAAATGTCACTTTGAACATATCCTCCAGAACTTGTTTCTTGCTATGAATTAACTCTATCCAAACTCTGTTGACAGCTTTCAGCAGAAGCTGGCGCCCTGCAAAGCACAGTCCATCATTTTGACGGTTTAGATCGTCATAAATATACAATGCATTTGGAATCCCTATGACACACTAATCGTTTTCACAATCATTTCTTTTTCACTGGCTAAAAGAAGCAATACCAGGTCACAAAAAAATAACATATGTCAAAAAGCTGTTTACACTGGCCTATGGTAAGCCTTTTTATTTCAAATTTCAGAGCTTTATTGCAGAGAAAACCAACAATACTTTACAACAGAGGCACCATCTGTGAACAGTAAATATGTATTCATCGGCTATATCCCATTTACAGATGAAGGCAGAATTAGTCATTTTGGAAGCTTATAGTCAAATAGGAGATCAAACAGAAGGCCTGGAAGGTTCTTTGCAGCTCACAACTGGCCAGTTGACAGGTTGATGCTGATTAACTAATAAAATTGAGAAATGTCAAGAAAAAACAAAAAAAATGTAAATATTCACTTGTATTATCCAAATCATGTGGAAAAGCAAATTATCCTTCAATTTGAATACCCAATCATGTGCAGCGCTTTCCAAGTGAATGGATAATTAAAGAGAATATTCACATAATTTTGGAGTGAAGATTTTCATCTCCTTTAGTAAATCAGCCAAATTGCCTTAAAGGAATTTTAATATTAGTCATCTACAGCACAATATTAGCAACCCCAAGAACCTCTTGTGACTACTGGCCATGAGGTAATTCCTGAGCAATGTAATAATTTGCAATGAGAAGTAGGGATGCACCGATACCGGTATTCGGTTTCGAGTACCGATATTTTTTTTTATACGAATACAGAGTACCGACTTGCCACCCGTCTTCCCGATTAGCAGGGAAGCCGTCCCCATGCTTCTTGTCACAAGTGACTAGAGAGCATGGAGACGGCTTCCCGGCCAATCAGGAAGCCGTGTAATGACGCGCTGCCCGGCTTCCTGATACCGGAAGTATCGAGCTAGGCATCAGAGCATTTGAGCGAGTACGAATACTCGCCCAAATACTCGGCAACGGCAACCATACCGATACTATTATCGGTATATCCCTAATAAGCAGAAACTTTGCAAAATGCTTAGTAACTGGTTGGTGTTTGCCCTGTTAATTCTAAAGATTTTGCAATAGTCAATCAATGGCTAAACAAGAGAGGAAAGGTTCCCAGCTGCGTTTCATCAAGATTAGGACAGGCAAATCTCCCAGGAGTATTCTCTTAGAGAAATCTGATCATCTAAGTGTACCCCGCATCTGATAAAAGTCCTTCATGATGGTTTCAGAGATTTTCAAGTGTTAAAAAAAAAAAAATCTCTACAGTCAGATCAGCAAAACAGGCCTCATTCAATATTGCACATGGGCATGCAACAAAGCTATATATGGCTACTCTACATTAAAGGATTATTTGCAGTGATGATTTTTAGAAAGTAAAGATAATCATCAATTACTCAACATTAAAAAAATGTCCAATGTAGGAGACACCATCATGTAACTAACCAATAATACATGATAACACAAATACACTTCTCCATGACTGTGTAACCCCTTTTATATACACCAACTAGTGTCCTCATGTACCAGCAGATAATACACTTTGCTACTGACAAATACTATCATCGCAGCTCAGTAGTGCGAGTTCCAGGTGAGTGGAAAAAGAACAGTAATCTACAAGTCTGCATTTTGCCTTAAGGATGTATAAGACCCTTTAATGAGTTCAAAGGCATGTAAAAAAAATCAATGTGGCTGTGTTTCCATTAGAAAGCTTAAAATAAACTTGTAAAGTTATTCTGCATTATACAAACAATGGAAACTACTTTCTATAGGTATGTCATTTGTTTGTGGTGTGGATGGGGGGGGAGATGGTTTAATTAGTATGCGATATAATTTGGGATAGACAAGCCCTAGGCAGAAAATGAGGCTTTATATACAGCTTGGACAAGAGTGAGAAGTTGTTTGACTTTAGTCATGGAATTCAGTTCAGATATGGATGAGCCCTCATGTACAACTCAGTCCCTAGTTGACCTGGATCACAAGGTACTAGCACTTCAGTACTGTTGTTACTTTAAAACATTTCAGGACGGATCAGGTTTACGTTAAGCATGACTTCTTTTTTAAATATGTTATGTGTCCTTGGATAATTTAATCCAAATTAAAAAATACACCTTGGTATTAAATATGCATAATGAATTTCACTCCAGTGTACAAATACAGTGTACAAATACAGTGTACAAATACAGTGTATGTAAAACTTTACTACAAAGCATAGGTGATATCCCAAAAAGCTATACAAACTTTCCTCTCTATAAATGTTAATATAAAGAAACATTTGTATGCACAGATGGCTTGCACTTTACCTTCACTTATATCCTGATACATTCCATCTGCTTCAACCTCCGAAGGCATCATTATATGCCAAGTGGTCATCCTAGCTTCAGCTTCCAATCCAAAGCCATCAGGGTTACTATAATGAAATGCAAAACAAAGTTTTTGTGTTTAAAATTTTGGTTCCAAACCTTTTTAGTATAGCAAATTGAAGTTTTGGTATTATCCTATTCATGTTTCTAAGGAAACTTGAAGTATTATACTACTTCACTGTTAATTTACTTTGCTTGCAACGTCAAATGTCAAGAATCCACATGTACATGGCTGGATATGTACCTCTTCCTTGAGCTTTCCAGCAGCATGGGGAGCAAAGGTCTCTGACATGCTGTAAACAGTTTCATTCAGCAGTTCATAATTAGAACATAGATCCTTGAAAACAATGTAACCTGCGTACTTTATCACTATGGTTACATCTTCTCACATGTTCTCACACCAATCCAGAACAGCATATGAAAGGCCAGCAACAAACTGCATTACAAAATTGAGAATCTGAACTCAAAAAGTGAAGCGGTTATGTTATAGGGAACACATAAAACTTTTAATTGTGCCTAAGCACTACCCTAAAAGACTTAACTTTTCACTATACTTTCCCATACATCTATGTAAACTTAAAGTAAATATAAGCAGAAGAAATATGGGGGAAAGGTTCTTATCTGTATGACATCATGTGTATGTTTGTTCCAGGGCAGGGGACTTAACAGGGGCGAACAACCAGACCACTGAGATTGTCAGAAGCAGATGTCAGCCAAGAAAACTCCATGTTTCTCTCTCGGACATTTATATTCAAGCACAGGTGGGCAATATGAAACTGCAGGGAAGTGAACCTGTGTTCTCAAACATTCAGTCATGTGCAGGGGGAATGAAATTGGAACAAACAGTTAAATAAAAAGTTAAACCTATATACGGTATTGTTTATTGCTTTAGCTGCCATAGGATGTGTAATTCTATGTAGCCAATGTACTAATTTGCAAGTAATGTAGTGTCCTACGTCACCTCCCCTCCTTTGTCTTGCTCAATGGCCAAGGATTTAGCATAATCACTTCTGTCAAAATAGTAGGATAATTAAAACTGTAGTAGGACAGCGGATCTCAACCTGTGGGTCGCGAACCAAAAGTGGGTCGCAATTTACTGTTGAGGGGGTCGCAGCATCCACTTCTGCTGCGCTGAGAGGCTCCTCAGCCTCCTCCTAGCGCAGCATTTTCAGTGTTAGTCAGCGGGAGGACAGCAGAGGATGTGAATATAAAAGTGCCGCCATACACACTCCCTAGCCGCTGCAGCGACATCTAGTGGCCGGGGAGTGTGTACAGCTGGGCTTTTCCATTCACAGCCGTTGCTGTCCTCCTGCCTCCATACAATGTGAGCTCTGCAGGAGGTGGGCGTCTAAGCAGTGCTGGGGCTGAGAAGGCTGCATGGAGACAGAGCAGGCAAGCAGGTAGCAGGGGCTGGGGAGGGCTTGTATTCTTGTGAGTGAGCTTCTATTTTTAGTCCCAAGTTCAGCGCCTTACTAATTCTGGAGTCCAGCGCTCCGTTGTGGGGTCACCACAACTTGGCAAATGTTACCAAGGGGTCCCGGCCCTAGAGAGGTTGAGAACCACTGATGTAGAATGACCCACCTGGTTGTACATTGTGCCAGAGGTGTGTACATCAGTGGCTGAGCAAAAATATAATCTTTTAGTAAGTAAAACATTAAACATATGTATTGTAAGCATTTCACAAATGTACTTGCCACATGAAAAGAAAGGCCTACAGCAAATCAAGGATGTTTAAAGCAAACACATAATTACATCAATAAAAATAAAATTGTAATTAACAGTCATCATCTAAAAAAATCATTATCTGTCATATGGGTCACTACTCCTCATCACTGTTAATGCTCCAGCAAGCACTTGTTAGAGCCAGCATGCCAGCAATACATAAATGTATTATGTTAATGTCTAGGCTGGCTGTTCATAAAACAAACTCTGCCTATTTTGTTCTTAGAAAACTAACAGTTTTGTCTGCTACAGAGAAGACCAAGAAGAATGTTAGCAGTAATGAGCTATATAAATAATCTGGGTACATATTCATTTCAGTTATTCTCTACGGTTTTCAGTACTAAAACAAAGCAAAGACTCAGGACTGGTGGTATCATGTATACATCTTATGCATAAACGTGCACGGCATGGATAAAAGCCTACCTTCCAGTGTAGAGGTTAATCAAACAGTGAGCTAAGCAGGAAATGAAATCCTGGTCGTGATTCCCAGGACCCAGAATAAGGGTTCTATTGACAGTGAGAACTCGCAGAGAATCCAGAAGAGCCACTTGTTGAGGGACAGTTTTATGCGCTCTGGAGAATTGGTATAATATGGTTCGATTCAAGCAATTGTAAATAGTTTCAAGGGACAAACCTTGAGACCGTCTCTTTGACTGAAGAAAACAAAAGCAGAAAAATGTGCATTTAACTCACATCTGAATTTAAACTAAAGAGGTTAATAAATACAATTTAGAAGCAGGAATAACTTTAAAGAAACACATTGGTTTGTACGTTGCTCCTAAAAAAGCATATTCTGACTGCAACATTGATTAAGCATCGGTCATGTAAAAGAAAAAACTGCAGGAACTCTGTGAATATTTATCTTTTGAGAATAACTACAAAGCCAGTCTCTTTCCTGTAACCACATAAAATTAGTGCTTTTCATCTACCAAATGCAGTTTTTTTCTTCTTTATCTAGAGATCTGTAGCATATTAATAAAAAATGGATTAAATATATATGGAGATGTTGCCAAAAGCAACCAATCATTTTCCAGGTGTCCTTTGCAAGTGCAGCTTAAAAAGTCAAAGCAAACACCGATTGCTCATTTATTTCAGTTCTTACACATTTGCCTGTCCTGTGTTAGCAAGCACACCAATTGTTCATTTACTTCAGTTCTTAGATTTGCCTGTTCTGCAATAGCCAACCATTAAAGGAGTACCTGTGGTCTGGTTAAGACATTTAAGCTGGCTCATTTTCTGGTTGCAAGTACCTCAAGGTGCCTGCATGAATTTTTTAGCAGCTATAAAATAGTACCCCTTTAACTTTCTGGCCTGGCACTATTGATTAAATTGTGATCAAGGCTTGCATGGTATCTATCTTCCTTTCACTTGCATCTTTCTACTGGCCAGTAAGGTCACCTATCACACTGCTGGGCAATGAGAAGGCATAAGCAGAGGGATGGGATGGTGGCAACCATGAAAGCTCTTGTCATAATTGCCTATATAGAGCATCCAGGACTTTAAGCTACCGGGGGCCTTCCCAATCATAGAAATATCTTCTGATGCTGGGTCCTAGGCATTTTGTCATTTCAGCACAATCCAGGATCCGGGTACCAGAGGTTAGACTGCATGCTGTGTCTGTATGGAATTGAAGACAATCATTCTCTGCATCCCCTGCACTTAGAACCTAAAATGTCCTGATATAATGTACCACATGTGCAGGCACCTTGAAATGACTAACTTAAGAGAAGGAACCATCTTAGCAGCCATAATTCACCATACAGGGTTGTTTTAAAGGGGAAACTCACCTGTGAAATGAGCTGGGTAACACAGTCAACCACTAGTTTTGAGTCTTTGTTGAACATTCCTTGCCACAGCTTGTCTACCACTCGCTGGGTAAAATAAAACACATTGTTCACCAGCACCTGATAATTACCACCAGTAGTCACTGGTAAGGAGGCATCCTCTCCTGCAAAAAGACACAAGCATACACTTAAAGCAAACAATAGATAAGAGAACAACAATGCCATAATACAACCAAGCAAACTGGCACATATGGGCACCAAAATAGCAATATATTCTATACGTACACCTCCATAAAGCAATAGCTAAAAAATGCAATAACCTAGACCAACCATTCAGAGATCATCTGCTCTGAAGCAACTGGGCTAGCTTTCACATCAAATGAAAATATGGGAATGGTCATCCGCACAGACATTTTTCCAGTGACAACAATGCCTTGACGCCATGTCAGTTGGGCTGTAATGCTCAACATAGGCCCAATGCAATGACAAAATCCACTGCTTTCAACAGGCCCAGTTTTAACCAACAAATTATGTGCCGATTGATTGAAAATGAAACCTGCTGCATTCAAATGCAATGAGTCAGAGCACACTGCAAGGTTAAGAGCTCTGAAAAGAGCACGTATCCTTCCCTACTCTATCTCCACTTTAAATGTGAATAAATGCATTTTAAATGTATTACATATAAAACTAGCTTATATTTTTAAAGCTTAAGCCTACTGGTTACTATGAACAACTGTTCCATATTCTGTCTACTCCAGTTTGGATAAATTCCCCCCAATGTTTAAAAAAAGGATGTCAACGCATGTCAACTCAAATTCATTTGGCGCATGTCAATGTGCACTGAATGCAACGAAAGTGGCACGAACCCAGCCTGATGCAAAATTTCACACACGTCCAGTTAACCCAATATGATCACTAGTTCTATCATCTATCTACCATAGCACGGAAAAAGAACAAACTTGTGTTTCTGCTCAAGGCTATCCAATGTCTAATTACGATGGCGAAAAAGGTTAAGAAAGGGAAGTAGGGCATATGACAAAAACAGAGGAAATCACCGCTGTTAACCCCTATATTAGCATTAACTTTTCCCTTTTCCTACCCTAACACTTAAAGTAAACTTAAATTGTAAAGTGAGATTTACTTTAATGCAGATGTCCACATGCTTAGCATGAAGGAAAGCACTGTATACTCTACCAGTTGCTGGATTAATAGCTTACACAGGGCTAGAGACTCCCTGTGAAACATTGCAAATTGGCCAGCGCTATTACATTCCTCCATATATTGAAATACCACCGATTTCCTTTGGTTCCCAGTGTTGAAGCGAGTGGAGGGGAGGCAAAAGAAAGGTAAGGAAGGATGGGGGATTAAAGCAACAAGTAATCTTTAAAGTTCCCAAACTGCCTCTTTTACACACTAAACGCATCCAGGTTTGTACCAATATTAAAGTGTACGAGTAGCTAAACCTTTTTTTTAGTTTTCGATAGAGTGGGTTGGGGCAAAACCCCTGTCAGTTTGTCTTTTTTGACCCATTGGGGAGATTTCCTTAACTTCCAGTCCTGGAAGCACAACAAGAAGTGAAAGTAAATCGTTAAAAAGTGACGGGAATTCCCCTCTTAGACAGTGGTCACTGGAACAGTTCTTCCCATTGAAAGATTATCCACAACTTTTGCTCTGGTGACTACCTTAAAATTCAATTTCCCATCAATTTTTGACATGGTTAGAATAGCCACCAGGACACTTAGGGCCTGTTCACATCAGCATCCACGCTACACTGCATGGCTGTTGGTGTGCGTGTTCCTAGCACATTGCTAATGCACTCAATCGAGACCCATTAGTTTATTTTTGGTTAGAACTTAATAAAAATATCACTCGTGACATTTCAATAAAGTTCTATGGGCACACCATGGTGCGATAAGGTTGTACCACGTTGTACTGCAGTGCACGGAAATAAGTACCGCATGCTGTACTATTTTCAGTACACACCACCATACCGCATCACAAAGTGGTGGTGTGAACCGAGTCTATCTGGAACAAGGCTAACTGCCTTGTCTTGTGTTGGGGCTATACTGCCCCAACGCATTAGATATGAACAAGCCCCAAGAGGACACATTTTTCCAGCAGGGACAAAAAAAAAAAATCTGAAAAGAGCGCTTATCCTTTCCTACTCTATCCACACTTTAAATCTAAACAAATGAATGAAAATGTACTAACATATGAAACTAGACTCAAAAGCTCATACAAATACCTAGCAGTACATCAGCTGCTAGCAGGTGGTCCATCACGCTGTCCAATATGTAGGTCTGGAATTCCTTCTGCTGAGCTCTCGTTGATCTTTCAGGGGAAGACTGGAAAACAGTACCATTAACCAAGCTTCAAAAAAATGTATTGTATGTTAAGCTTACGTTATGCAAACCCCTAAAATGAAAATTATTGTTACTCTACTTCCATCAAAATATGAAGAGTGAACGTGCTTGCTGGAAGGGTTGAGCATAGATTAAATCAATGTCAAATAAAAAAAGGTAAAAGGGTAGAACACTACTTTTAATGAGTGGCCAGTACTGGTCTAACAATTGTTGACCCACAGTGAGAGTTTTCTACAGTTCTTAACTTCTCTGCTATAAAGTGAGTGTAATCGGATGCCCACAGCTGAATTAATCAAAGGAGTCTTGTTCACACAGCTCTGTATGGAGTATGAAATCGAAAAGAAATGGTTCACAAGTAGTTACTGCTGGGCCACCTTGATTGAAAACCCAGAATGCTCTGTAAACAGAGTTATGGAAACACTCTACAGGAGTATGACTAAAATTAATAATTAATTAGGGATGCACCGATATCGAGTATTTGCGTGGGTACTTGTACTCGCCCAAATGCTCTGATGCCTAGCCTGATACCCGAACTTCCGGTATCAGAAAGACAGGCAGTGGGTCATTACACACTGCCTGGCTTCCCGATTGGCCGGGAAGCAGTCTCCATGCTCCCTCATCACTTGGTGACCAGGGAGCATGGAGCAGGCCAATCAGAAATCGTGCAGCATGTAATGACTCGTTGCCCGGCTTCCTGATTGCCATCTTCACGACAAATGAGGAAGCCGGGCGGCGAGTCTTTACCCGTCCCCGGCTTCCTGATTGGCTGGCTTCATGCTTCCTTGATGCATGGTGACGAGGGAGCATGGAGCCGGCTTCCTGGCCAATCAGGAAGCCGGGCTCCGTTTAAGGACCCGCCGCCTGGCTTCCCGATTGGTCGAAAAGCTGACATTACCCGCCCCCCAGCTTCCTGATTGGCCACAAAGCCAGCTCCATGCTTCGTCACCTGGTGGCGCATGGAGACGGCTTCCCTGTTAATCAGGAAGCCGGGTGGCGAGTCTTTACACGCCGCCCGGCTTCCCGTCTAATCAGTAAACCAAGTGGCGAGTCATGACGCGCCACCTGGCTTCCTTAATGGGACTTCCAGTATCGGCAAGTACTGGAAAAAATATCTGTACTTGTACTCGATACCGTAAAACCGGTATCGGTACATCCCTATAATTTATAATCATAATGAAAAAAGTGACAAAAGATCAATTTGTAAACATTTAACAAATTTAAAATATTATCTAACAAAAACCAATATGAATTCCCTTTAACCCAGACACTATGTCACTGACAAAAAGATATGACCTCGTGAACCAGATTATATGAACTGGAGTGTAGTCTTCCAGAATCCAAAACCTGTGTTGGGAGTCTCCAGAGATAGATAGATAGATAGATAGATAGATAGATAGATAGATAGATAGATAGATAGATAGATAGATAGATAGATAGATAGATATGCACACAGATATCATGCACATACAAACATATTTAGTATATTGCATCGGGAAATACATCTTTTGGAGTATGTCCCAAATCAAAAAACTACTGAATTAACTAAACACTACTGTACTAGGCTAGTACTTCACAAAGAGTAAAATAATAAAGCCACAAATGAATAAGCTACATATACTGCCATCACCTCTTACACATGGACACATACCTCTAAGAGTAAGTCTATGAGAGGTGTTTGCTTGCTAGCAGGGGTATGACACAGATTTTCAATGACCAGGACACGCATGAAATCAAACACAAACTTTTTGGCAGGATGACTGGTGAGATAGGTCTTGGAGCCCACATTGCAGTATTCAGACTGACTTCTGTTCATGCCAGAGTCTGAAGCAAAGGCTTTAAATTCTTCAGCAGGTGAACCCACTTCATCATCCAGGTCTGTAACCTGAAATATTATATATTTACAGTTAGGTTAAAGCATAAAGAGTGCGTGACATATCACATCTTTTTTAAAGTCTTAAAGGTTTCTGCTGATATTCTCAAAATTACGGAATTGAGCATTCCTGTGCATGATCTTAGGCTTAGAAAGAAAGCTGCAAGCATCCATTATGTGAACGGTTAACCTCTGCCATTGAGATTGTGGTATTGGTACTTGCCCAACTGATAAGAATGGCTACTGAAGCTCTGCTTTGTTAGGCACCTCTTCCCTATATCATAGCGAATGGGCAAAAGCTGCACTTTTTGGAAAAAACAAAAGCTCAACTTAAGACCACGCTCACATATTCTGTTTACTGTAGAAACTCTAAAAAGCATGTGCTTACCTTCCCTGTGCCTCACTACTGCCTGAAACCCAGTACTTTGGGTATGGGGGGAATAGATGAAACTACCCCTCATAACTACAATGTAGTGTTTGGTCCCCGAGCAGCCAATTGTTGCACTCCATTGTTTACTAGTGGAAGTGGTGGAGTTGTGTACAGCAGTTTGTAACTTACTCAGGAATCTTGGGTGTCCTAGCAGTGGTTTGGGGTGGTGGAAGGGCGAAAGGAAGGTAAATATCTGCAGTAAAGTGAACCCGTCTTTTTTCCTAGAATGGGTAACGTACAAGTTCACTAAAATATTTTTAAAAATTCCTTTTGTAAATATATAGCCAGAACAAGGAGTGTTTTCATTTTCTTTAAATAAAAGCATGGAGTTTTGCTTTAAAATTGTTAATTAACAGTTCAATTAGTTTAAAATGGATCACTGTAATCTAGCTAGCCTCTAACAGTTATCTGGGTTTTTAGCTTTATTTCTAGTAATTACTTTTCTACATTGTTTTTCCCATGAAGTAGTCGGCATGAAAATATTTCTGTGATATACAAGAGCATGTGGTTCCCCGATTAGTGGCATTCCATGCTTGAATTATACTAAATTATGTGTAAAAATTACCCATCTCTCCCACCCATAGCACCTGGCATTCTTTTTTTATTAAATTTACAACGGTTTGCATTTCTAAAAGAGTTTTTTTCTTCTTAGTCATCTACTGAAACTCTAAACAAGAAGCCATTTTTGGAAGCTTGTAAACAATGGTAAGGAGATGATTTGTGCAGCACTTTCCAGCAATATGCCACCACCTGGCACTGGATACCTAGCTAACATTAGTCAGATGAACAAGATAATACAGTTCTCTGACACTATCAGTACTCAGCATGCTCCAGATCATGTTTAAACAGCCTTCAATCCTAGGAGGCCTATTCCACTCCATCTGTCATATGCATATACACAGCTACAGTTAGAGATTAACAATGCTAAGGAGACTGTTTATATTCTGTAATATGTCAGGTCAACACTGTCAACACAAAAAGGGGTGTACTATTAACTGCTCCCATATTTTACTGTTAGAACATTTCAATCAGTAATTGATGGCATAGATCCCGGTCTGATCCTCCTGTTAGAAGTATATAATTCTATCATTCTAGCATAAAAACTAGCTATTCAAATGCTTTATTTTGTATTTCTATCAGGATGTAAACAATATAAATTTACATTTAAACATGAATATAGAAAACTATCATTAAAACAGGCAAGAAAATCTGGGTTATACAATAAAGCAGAGTGCTGAGACCTACAGCAACACATTAAAATAAATGTTACTACTGTAAAATTAAATCTACTTGGGTATAATGAGATACTGCCTTTTGCACATTATCATTGTGCTTTGTACTGTATAAGCAATGCATCTCATAACTGATTTATAATGAACAAGGGAAAATCAGAAATGAACTAGGAATAGATGTGAAAGCCACCTATCAATAAGCACAGCGCACTGGCATAAATATTACCATAGCGACCCACGCAGTCGCTATGGGGCCTGGGGCAGATGGGGGCCAGGAGGCCAGGGCTAAGCAGCTAATATGAAGGAGGCCGGGGCCCGGCAGAGTAGAAGGACGGGGCTCGAGGCCCGGCCACGGTGGTGGAGGCCGGGACCCGGCAGCAGCGGTGGCGGTAGTGGGGGCCTGGCAGCAGCAGTGGCGGTAGTGGGGCCCTGGCGGTGGCAGCGCTGCAGAAGGCGGCAGTGAAGGAGGACAAGGCCGGGGCTGACAGGTAAGAGGAGCAGGGAAAGGGACCCCGACCAGCCCCCCCGAGACCCTGCATAGCCCACGATAGGGAGCCTATGGTTGGCTCCACAGGGTCACTCAGGTGGGCTGTGCAGAGTCTCTGGTGGGCACTGTGGGCTCTGCAGGGTAGCTGGTGGTGCTGTGCTGGGTTTATGGTGGGCTCTTCAGCAGTGAGTGGCGGAGTGATCTGTTCTTCGGCTCTGACGTCAGAGCCAGCAGGAGCAGAGTTGAAGAGGAGGAGACGGAGAAGGCACGAAAAGAAGGTAGGTACCTTTTTTTTGGGGGGTGGGGGGGCCCTGTGATTTCTAGTTATGCCCCTGCCACAGTATGAATAAATGTAAGTAAAGTAACACAAAACCTAGTGGCACTATGTCTACATGTCAGCGTTGGTGATACTTGAAGGTAAATAACTGAACTGCTACTTTAAGTAGTAAGCTAGGATACACATATTGAGAGGAATTTATCAAAACGGGAGCAGACAAAATCTGGAGCAGCTGTGCATGGCAACCAATCAGCATCTCTCTTTCATTTTCAAATCCTAACTGAATAAACTGAAGAGTGAAGCTGATTGGTCGCCATGCACAGCTGCTCCAGATTTGGTCTGCTCCAGTATTGATAAATTCCCCTCAATATCTTTAGAAAGAAATTCTACAGAAATGCTTGATCAGCCATCTCTGTGAACTCTTGTCATGATTATGTATGTGCAATGTGACATTTATGGTTCTATGTGTAGAGGTGCTGTTGGCTTTCATTTTACACATGAGTGGTTTACAGGCCCTCAGACATACATGCATAGGCAAGGGTCATTTGACTTCTAGGCGGCTAATTGCTTTATTATGCACGCGTTAATTATCTCTGAGGATAGATGTCAATATGATATATACTCCCTCTCAATGTGCACACACTGCCGTTGCATAAAGCACAAGTCAGCCATTTAATGCATCGGACCTAAAGAAAAGCCTAAGTGTATGCAAGCAGAATATGCACAACCTGCTTCAGGAAGCATTGTCAGAACAAAAAAAGGACTACCTGCAAGAGAAGTAGAAATGTTCGTCTCCTGCTGCCCATGCCACTGAAGACTGCTTATTTTAAAGTCTATCCATCAAGAAACTGACACCTGGAAATATTAATATCCTGGTGCCCCGTTGAGCTCAGTTATTTGCCTCTCCGATATACCTTCTGTCCTTGCCACCATATGCTGTTCAATTCAAGAGAGCTCTTCCCCTGGAGTCCCTTGAGAAACTGACACCCGATAATGTTAGTCTTCTGGTTCCTCATTGTGCTCAGTGGTTTGTCCTGTCGATGCATCTACCGTGCCCTGTATTGACATGAAGGTCAGTGGGAGGAACCACTGATCGCTGCAGGGGACCAAGGAGAGCAACAATCCTCGAAGTGTCAGTAACTCAGCAAGAATTCTCTTAAATATAGTGGTGTAGGTAAGTACCTTTCTTTTGTACGTTGATTTTTATGGCTATTTTTTTTCTTGACAGGGTCACTTTAAGCCCTCATTCACACTAGAAAAGGCCAGCACGTACAGCTCTGTGCTGCGTGCCTCGGCTGTATTGGGCAGCTCCCAGGAAGGACAGGTGCTGTGTGTGATTAGTACGCAGCCCCCGCCGTTCTCTATGGGAGTACACGGCCGTACGCCGCCCTACGCACACCCGCCCTGCACGTCTGTGCGGGTGTCCGTACTCGTACGCTGACAGGATGGATCCGATCTGGGTCCGAGCCAGGAAACATGCACCCGTACGGACCTGCACTTGGGGTGAGCATAGGACGGCGTACTCCCATAGAGAAAGACGGGGTCTGCGTACTAATCACCCGTAGCACCTGTCCTTCCCGGGAGCTGCCCGATACGGCCGTGCACGCAGCATGGTCAGATAAGTGCAGCAATGATTCATAGTCTGTACAGTCATAAGTACACATGTATGATTGTGTACATCAGATGGAAAAATACAATCTTTTGGAGAAGTCTCCCAGGTAGTCTAAAAGCACCAAAGAATACAGAACTTTATCTTTGTGTAAGTGAAACAATTATTTCCTAATTCCAGATTACAACTTTATCTTCGTAGTGTACCACAGTAGTGTTACAGTTTGTGATCTAGGTGACAAAATGCGAACATGGAAAATATACTGTATGCTGAGCTCAGTTGCTGGATGTCAGATTCTGAGAATAAAAGCAGCACTGAGAGAACTTGGAAAATATGGCATCTCTGACTTATATCCTTGCCCCACCAATAGGACATGCAATGAAAACATTTCAACCTCAACCACACGTGACTAACAAAGAAATCTCATAAAATACATATTTTTTCTTTACATATACACTGCCTGGCCAAAAAAAGTCAGACGCTCTAATTTTTTGTTGGACCACCTTTAGCTTTGATTATGGCAAGCATTTGTCATGGCATCGTTTCGATAAGCTTAGGCAATGTCACAACATTTATTTCTGTCCAGAGTTGTAGTGATGATGGGATAGTCAGACCACTGTGTAAAGTCTTCTCCAGTGCATCCCAATGGGTTCTCAATGGTGACTCTGTGGTGGCTAATCCATGTGTAAAAACAATGTCTTATGCTCCCTGAACCACTATTCACAATTTGAGCCTGGTGAAAACTGGCATTGCCATCTTGGAACATGCCCGTGCCATCAGGGAAGAGAAAATCCATTGATGGAGTTACCTGGTCATTCAGAATATTCGGTTAGGCAGCTGACCTCATTTTTTGTACACATAACGTAGTGAAACCTAGACCTGACCAGCTAAAGCAACACCTCTAGTTCTTACCCATTTGCTTAGCTAGATCCAGGTGGTGACTTTTTTTACCCAGGCAGTGTATATTGCTGCAGGTTTGTCTATTTTAGCGAGTGATTATATGTACAGCCGTATATCGCTCATGTTCCAAAACACGTGTACAAACAATCACACTGTAATTACACACCCGGTCATTTCTAATCGAAGAAATCACAGGAAGAATGTCTTTTTACCATTTCAGAGTACGGACGAATGTTAAAGGGGAATACAGATGCTGCCAAGGCACACAGGAACTCAGGGCTGATCCACATTGGAGCAAGGTCTGGAACATTGTGGTAGAGGTAACGGAAGAACTGCATCAAGGTAACTGGATACTCTCGAAGCCATGAGCCCTCCTCCTCTGACTGCCATGGCTGTTTTTAAAGCAAAATACTTAGAATTAATGAATCAACAACAATGCTACACGATTTAGTACTGGCTGGAGAAATGAAAAGTTAAATTACAAGAATTGTATTACAACTTCATACTAAATGTTGACTGTAGATTGTGATAAAAAGGAAGCAGATCTGTAAAATAAAGTTAATTAAAACTTCCCCTATGGAAATGAAACCATTTATCACCTCCACTCACTCCACAATACAGTGCTTGACAATTTAAGAGAAACACACTGTCTTCACAAACACTTTTTAGCTATAAAAGAGGTGTTAAAAAAAAAAAAAAAAAGGATTAGTGCAAACATTTTCAATGTGTTATTTTCCTTTTTGGGGGAGGAGACGTTTTCAGCTCTATGAATAATATCACTTTGCTCCTCACACCTGGTCAATCTTTTGCGGACATCCTGCAAAGTTAGTACTTCTATACAGCGCATGGATTCAGTTAAGTGTCTGGAAGCATGTACAAAAGAAAAGGTGCTGAGGGGAAGAAGTCTGCAATGTTTTCTGACAGCATACAAAAGCAAAACAGGAGAAAAGAAAAGTAAGGATATACTGTCAGACTGTTTGAGTTGCCTTGACATAATAACCAACATCCCTTCAAAGTGTACTTCTTGAAAACATTATAAGGGCATAGCACTTACAGAATTGAGCATTGTCCTGAGCATGGCCAACAGCAGCAAGGCAGCTTCTGTGCACACGTTGTGGATGGAGGAGAACACATTTCCACTGGACGCAGGAACTCCAAAGATGAAAGTCCAGATGGAGTCCAAGTCAAACTAAGGAGAGAACACATTGAATCACCTTTATGATTCCTACAGCAATGTAAAAAGCTTGGAATCTGCACCCTCCAGCTAGAAATCTGCTTGAGCCAAGATCCATCTGGTGCTAGAGGCACAGTCTGCTTCTTTGCATTGATTCTGAGCAGCCTGCCTTAAGGGACAGAACTAAAAAAAATGTTCTTTAAAAAAAGGGACCATCATGTGACAGCTGGGATGAGATCACCAGCCTATATCCTACCAAACCAAAAAGAGCAAGTTTTGAAGCAGAACTTATAAATTTAGACACATTATATAGTCAGAATTGCAAGTGATAATTAATACATCAATAGAAATACTTAATTATGGGTTCTAACGTGTTTGCCATTTCAAGAATTTTCTGAGTGCTTTATAGCAGCTTAAGGAATCCATGCTAATACACTGGACACTGCCTGCTAAAAAAACCCTGGAGTCTTAGTAGAAAGATTTCTACCTATGACTGTGCTAGGCAGATACATCATCTATCTTTAGAATAGGATACGTAGCCAGTTTATTACACTGATTGACAAGCACTGCACTGATGTCTTAGATCTAAACAACCTACCATTTTTAAAAATATCATCAGGCCAAGTGAAAATACATGTACAGATTTAAATAATAAAAAAAAGTGAAATCTTATCCATTTAAAGCTGAAATTTGACCTTTTGTCACAAGACAAAGCAATTTTTTGCTACAAAAAATAAAGCATGTCTCTCCTAACAAGTGGAGCCAGATAAACCTAAATAGAACTAAAAGGGCACTGAAGCATCACTTGCATCATTAAATATTTGGAAATGTCGGTATCACAAGACCGCCTTTAAAGAAACCTGCCCTGAAAAGTGCTTCATCTACATCTCATATTCAAATTATATTTGCAGACATTACTAGAGCAGAAAAAAATGTTGAGTTTCTGCTTTGACAAATTTTTATGAAAAATAATTAGTCTTTTGAGAGAGGTCAATAATAAGTATACCAGAGTAATTGACTAATCTAAGGAGATTGACAAAACACATACATGCCTCACTGGCTAATTCCTACCTGGCAACCCCGGTTACTTCGGTTCCTGGTGACAGGTGCACTGACCTGCAAGTTCTCAGGCAGTTCAGTGACCGGTTGCTGAAGGAACAGCGCCATGAGCAGAAAATAAAGGGCAGGTACGTTGGTGTGCTTGGGAAGAAGAGACTGAAGGACTGGGAAGCCAGGGAAATGACATGCATCACGATTAATCTCCCTGAGTGTTGATCTGCCGCCGGCACTCCTTCCTACATTGAAACCTGCAAAGTCAAACAGGAGAGTCTATTGAAGATTGTGAAAGCAATAACAGTCCTTCAAAACTGACTTTGTGCGGCTGTTACAAAGACAACAATATGCATGAGAAAATAATACATGCTGCCTGCATATCAAAGCATAACATACAAAAGGACAATAACACATCAGTCATATCTTGAAACACGCGTTTTGCACAGTAGTGGCTTAGTTGTTGAGACAGAGATAGAGAAAGAAAGAGGAGAGATAAAGACAGAGAGAGAAAGAAAAAGAGAGAATATGAATCAGTTTAGAAACTATTCTTCAAATACTGCTATGATCAGACATAAGCAGTGGTAAATCAGTTTATTTTACTTTATTGGCTTTATGTACAGTTTTTCACACCAGCTGTAAAATACACTACACGCAAAAATGTTACCTAGCACAGTGCCGATTTTATTGGTCAAAACAGAGTCTGTTTGCTCCAGCCATCCTCCTCCACTAATTCCTTCCTTGAATTTGATAAGGATTGGCTGGTTGCTCAAAAGAACCACCAAAAGCCTCATGGCTGCTGTCACTGTGGTGGAGTGCAGGTGTTCCTCCATAAACATGATCACCCAGTCGAAGCCGAGAGTCTTCACTAGCTCTTCACAGGCTCTTAATTGAAGAAGAAAGAATGTAAGAAATGAAAAACAAAAGTTACCCTAAACCACTAAGATTTTTTCCTCCCGTCTTTAACATCAAAAGCTAAAGCATATATCCCAAAGACAATAAGGCTGATTTACTAAAGGAATTTAGAAAGTTCAGAAAATAAATCATGTGAATATTCTCTTCGTATATCCAATCGCATACAAATGAAATAAGTTAACAGGGAATTTCTCTTCAAATAATTGGACAATTTAAGTAAATCTTCACACAATTTTTGTGTGAACACTGTGTGAACACTCAATTTCATTAGTAAGCAGCCTCAATGTTTAACTGAGCTGAATATGCAGATAGAGAACCTATTTAAAGGTTCCTTCTACAGGGAGACTACACATCAGTGGGCATCGTTGCCAGTGTTTAAAAAAAAAACAAAAAAAAAAACAAACACGCACTAAAATGCCTTGGAGTCTGCAGGAAAGATAAATATTAAAAGGAGAACTATGGGGTTACGGCTTTTCCCCATTGTTCTCCTTAGGGTAACCGGGGGACACAGACTAGCGTCCTCCGGTCACCCAAAGCTCAGTATATTGCGAGCTACAGCTCCCCGTATACTGAGACGCCGCAGCCGGAACGGATCCCAACAATTATGTCTGGATCCGCGCAGCTGCGTGAGTGACAGCTGGCTCTGCCTATCTAGAGGCAGAGCCAGCTGTACCTGCCCCCTCCCCCGTCCGTTCCGCTAGTCAGCGCTGGAGGATCGGACAGGGGAGGGGGGAATCCAGTCCCTCCCCTGTCACGGCTCTCTGCCGGCACAGGATCGAGAAGTGAGCGAGCGCCGGTATGTGTTCGCTCACTTTCCGATCTACTGAGCCAACCTGTGACAGTTTCATTGTCACAGGTCGGCTAGAACTATGAGGCTGAGTGAAAATCAATCACCTCATAGTTCTCCTTTAAGACTGCCAATTCGGATCTTTTTTTTCAATTTTTTTTTTCATCTAATGTATTTCAATACTTTCTAAATTACTGACTTGAAACCAGTATCTGGATCTGAAGTTCTGACTTCATTGGCTGTATACTTGTTTAAGGTAAGTGACCCAGAGTACTGCAGCAACAGAAAGTCAAGCATTATTTTAAGCAGGTACAAAATTGGAAGTCTATTTGTTTTGATAGCACGGGGTTTCTTTAAACAAGCCCCTCGCTACTCAACGTTCCATAAAAGCAAACTAAAAAAGGCACAAGGGCATGCATAGAATACACATACACATCATTCCCAAAGTAGGCATGGTACTTGCTGCCAAATATGTATTGTGCTGTTTGCTAACAGAAACATGCAAATCACACAACAGTTCAACACTATTCTTGATCTTTATATACATTTACATTTTTCCACATTGAAATAACTTTAACACAGGTTTAATGAATAAGACAAAGAGCAATCTGCAAACTGCTGTATCTTACAATAACCAAATCAAAATTCATCTATCACCCATCGGTCTCGCGTAAACCTGAAATGTAGTTGCTATGCTTTGCCACTATATTATCTTTGCCCTTTACATGGCTTTACTAAATAAGTCAAATGGCCCTTTTACACTAAACAAAGTCGCAGCACAATATACACCCTTGGGAAAGGGCAAGGAAACACTTACTGCAGATTCACGGTTGTCTTTTCTTTTGTGGTGTACAGCAGCTTAAGCAACATATCCAATAGTCTATTTCTCAGAAGAATGAGATTTGCTGAAACAAGTCCTCCAAAATCATCTTCAGATCCTGATGAAAATATGTTAAGTCAAATATGAATGCTACATGTTAAATATAAAGGTTCAGAAAAATCTGTAAATCCTTAGGTTTTTTTTTTTTGGGGGGGGGATTTCTGCATGGATGGCTCCTAAATTGAAATCTCAGCTTTGTTTAAGATATAATAATAAAGATAGCCATTGAACAAACAACAAATAGATTTTACATTACTTAATCTTAACGTAAATGGCTTAAAGAATCAAAAATGCATGCAAACCTCTATGATAATGACATGCTGAATATAAAAGTCAGGATTTCCAGCCAGCTGATGTATGGGTTTTACTTTTTCAATCATATAAAAATTAAGTTTTACTTACCTGCTTATTACAAACTAATTTAGCTGCAATATGGACTGTCTGAATAATATTGTAGGGTATTATTATTATTACATAGTATTTATATAGCGCCAACAGTTTGCGCAGCGCTTTACAATATAAGGAAGACATTACAGTTACAATACAATTCAAGACAAGATGGTAAGGAGGGCCCTGCCCCTGAGGTATACAAAGGGTAGAAAGGGTACCAATAAAACCTATAATCCTGCAATAGGTTACAACAAGATTTATAAATGCTTGGCCCTGCTATCAGTATACTGAAAGGAAACAATTCAGCACTATGTGACACTCTTTCTTTGAGTATCCTTAAAAGATCAGTGATAGGGCAGCATAATCTTAGGCTGACTTATAAGTACGTGCAAATTGCACTTCATTATACCATGAGAAATGGACCAGACTAGTATCAGTGAAGGAAACCACTGCTTGCTGAGTTAACTCCAGAGCTAGATTCCTGAGCCTCCCAGCTAGACATAATCTGGTCTTTGGTGTAAGGCAAGTCAGTTTCTCTAGAGACTGATTTGTCCCAGGATGACAGAATGTTGAGTTGTAGGCATCTGGAGTGGAATTGAGCAAATTAAACTGGCTTGAAGGAGGACACCATCAAGCCCAGAACTTTCAAGTCTGGGAGCACAGAGTAAGCATTTTTTTCTTGGGGAAGAAAAACTCTGGCTTGGGGTGCGTCTAGGATAAGGCCCAAATACTCTCAGCAATGTTTTGGTTCCAGTGCTGATTTCTGAAGGATCAGTATCCAACCAAGCCTTTCGAAGATCTGGACTGTCTGCATCACAGTCAAAGTTTGTGCTGACTGTTCCCTAGCAGATCGCTCAGGTATCACACAATGGGAACATCCTGTGACTAGGAAGGCTAGTGCAGGTATCAATACCTTTGGTGAAAACTTGTGGTGTGAAAAACAGACCAAATGGTAGAGCCACAGTGTTTGAGTGTCCAAAACAAAACAGAGATAGCATTGAGGTGCTAAAAAGTTAGGGAAAGGCAGGTATGCATTCTTGATGCTCACAGAGGACAGAAAGTATCCCTAATGAAGGAAGGCTATGATGGACCTGGTGGATTCGATGCAAAAACTTTGTACCAAGATGGGATGGATACCCCTTTTTGGAACAGTGAAAAGGTTGGAGTGAAAATCTTAAAACATTTCTGCTGCTGGAACAATGGCGATAACGCCTTGCTTCAAAAGGTCTGCCAGAGCAGCATGGAGGTCTGCTAGTCTGCACAGAGCAGAGCACATAAAGTGAAGACGGGAAAGAGGGAGGAAGTCTACTTTATAGCCCCTGAAAACCTAATTCAAGATGATTGAAAACCAGGTGTCTGCAAAGGCCAATAGACATCCCCCCACTTAGGAAAGCAAGGGCGTCTTTCATCCCAAAGGAGAATTGTCTGCAGGTTGCGGGGTTCATGTCGAAGGGGACTCATCCACTGGTCTGGGGGACTTATAGGCCCAAGGTTTCCAACTTACTTAAGCCCTGGCTTGCAGGTAGGTTGAAGCCTGGGAGTAGCAAAATGATTTTTATTGGCTTCAGTGGGGGAAGGAGTCTTTCCAGTTTGAGGCCTAGATTTCTTTTCTTATAATCAAATAATATAAAAACTGTGGTATAAAAATGTATTTGATATCTTGCATTAAAGCTTGGATTTTTGAGGTGCACACAATGCCTTAAGAGGAGGATTACAAGACATATCTAAGACGCAAGTGATCCAGATGTCCAGCATCCATCTAATGTGCCCAGAGACAGATTAACCTAGATGTTGAGACCTTAACTTTTTTAGGGGATTGATGGACTTTCCCTAAATGTATAAGTGGAGAATAAGGAAATCCCTTTTTAAAATGTAAAGCTTCTTGGATAATGGTCATCATAGTCGTGTTGAGTAAAAATTATAACATTTGACATTTATTTCTCAGTATCCTTGTTTATATTCAGAGGGTGTCTGGAATGTGCACACAAAATATTGTAAGACACAGCTGTAATAAGTTGTTTTATTGTATATATAATTTTGTCTTTTGCACTAACCGCTGCTGTTACGCATTACCGAACTGTAACCATGTATGGTGTGGAAAGTTTTGTCCATTTGTGTAGCATGTATGGTTTTAAAAAGGACCATGTTTGTCAGAAATATGTCACCACCTGAAAATCAACAAAGCACTTACCCTGTGTAGAACCTATGATGCGTGACTAAAAAAAAGACTTTTATATGACTAAGATCTGATCAGTTAAGTTTCTATAGAATTCTGTGGCCATTTGTGATCTTAAAACTGAAAAGAATTTGCAATAATGGTTCAAAAGATAGGAACATAATAAAACAAAAATGGTTTAAACTGAAGAAAAATCGATGGTTTAGAGTGGCCAGGTCCTGACCTAAATCCCATAGAAAAGCTATTGCATATTGAGAAGCCTGTTTCAGAACAAGATATTCCAGAAATATATGTGAACTGACGCATTTTTGTATGTAGGAATGGGTGAAAAATACTTCCAAATGATCATGTAGGCCTGATAACCATCAGCAAACATTGGTTGACGTCACTGCCAATAAAGGACGTTTTACCAGTTGCCAAAGGTAACGGTTCACATCCATTTTTTTGTTAGTGACCTTGATTGTGTAAACCATTTGTTTAATTAAAAATGTGGTACTGCAAAATGTGTGTTGTCTTTATGATATGAAGTAAAACTTAGACCACATTTTAAAAGCCATTAATGCAGAAATAAAAAAACACAGTGACTCTGAATTGAACAGTATTTCTCTGACCAAGAACATATAAAAGTACTGTACATAAAAAAAAAAAAAAACATGCATAATGGAGAAAACATAACAATCAGACACTTATCTGCACAGTATATTGTACAGTTCACTTGCAGAGCAGACATAATTATGGATTTGTAGAGATAAAATCATATTAACTAGTACAAATAAAATTAACAAACCGTTTCCTCCAGGTTTTAGTGTATGTTATAGTGTAGTTATAAGACTTGCTATATTCAGTAAGTGTATAATCAGTTTTAGTGAAAAGAGGCTACTTTTTGCTTTTCAATGTGATGGATATTCGGAAATAAAAAGGAAAATCAACAAAGCTCTTACCTGGTTCAAGTTTCTCTTCATTATTTATTTCCATAACAACAAACTTCTCACAAACAGCAAATGTAGGTAGTGTTGATGAGATGAACTGGCCAAACCTGGACAGCACAAAAGCCAAAACATTAATGTCATACATCAGTGACTTGATTTGTGTCCATAAACTACTGTAAAATGACAATCATAAGATTATTTCCACCCTCTAGGCATCATGAATACAATACCTGAGCAAGTCATTGCTGTTGGGGAAGCCTTGTAGCAGGTAACTCAGTACGTTACTGATGGCAGATATACTGGGCTGGGAGAGAGACATGTCTCGCAGAGTCAGCAATAATTTTGGTATCAGCTGGAACTCTCTCATGAGCTTTGCATTCTTTGCAGCCTCACTGAAATGAGATGAGATGTATGGGAAATATAGAAATCCTGAAAACAACATGTATACGTAAAGTGCACCACATTTTCCGTCTCTAGATCTTTTTTATAGCTCTGGTTTACAGCTGTTTTGATATTTTAGAGGAATTCTGTGTTACATTATATTGCCTTGTGTCAGCTTATGTTCCTGTTTTAAAGTGTATGTCAAAGAAAAAAATATGCAGTACATTGCAGCAAAACATGCTAATTTACCCAGGATTATCCCTGGGTAATAAACCTGGTCTAGGGATGCTGGCCGAGAGGGTGCCAACAGCGGCACCCACTGTGTGAATTTGCACTTAATGAACAGATATAAAAAAGCTTTTAATGGTATATTTAACATACCAAAACAGAACATATAAGAAAAGAGTATTTTTAGGGTTTACATAAACTTTAAAGAATGTAGAAAAGTATTTTATATCTACTTGTACCAGTGGTGTATATGGTATGGCAGAGGATGTAGATCATGGTAAGACCTCGTGTTTTACATCAGTCCTACCTGGATTCTGTGAGAAGCTCAATGAAATGTTCAAACAGGGAAAGATGGAGCTCATATGGTGCATGGAGCCAGACCTAAGATATACAGAGAAAACAGGTCACGAACACATAAAAAAATGAACAGTGTTGGCTATATATGCAGTTACACTTACAAAAAAAAACAAAAAAAACACATTAATCAGAAACGTCTTTAGTACTAGTAACTCTATATTGTAAGGGTATGTGACCACAACTGCCCTAACAAGGCGATTTCGATGCATTCAGAACATATAAAACTGGAGTGCAAAAACTGGATTTTTGTACTCGCCATAAAATCCTCTACTTGAACTCTATTGAGAAACACAGGAAGTCTTTCACCTTTTGTTATATTGCCGACTACAGAAGGATTGTAAACTGGCAAACAAAAAATATGTAGGCCAAGCCCAGTTAAACCCATCCTACTACACAAATGCCATAGTTTAGTAGCAAAGCAGTATGCAGAACTGTATACTGACCCTCACACAGAGGGGTGGGGCCTGTATCCCTCAATGAACTCAAAGAAGAGGATTTCACGGACAGTACAAAAATCCTGAAAGAGACAGTCTCTTTCGGGACTTCCGAGGGACACAGTCTCTTTTGGGACTTCCGAAAGCACTTCCGAAAAGCAGGGGTGAGCAACACAGCAAACATACGACAACAGGTAAAGAAAAAACAAAAAAGAGAAATGAGGACCACGTGGAGCTCAAAAAGCCACATTTAGGTCAGAAGACCAGAGGGCAGCCTTGAAAATCTGAAAAACAGTGCGTTATGACAAGAAAGGGTGGAGGTCGATCCTTGGACCAGAAGCTTGGATAATGATCTCCCTGAGCTACCTAAAAATGGTGGCATGAGAACCCACAGCACTCTTTCAGGATTCATCCAGGATGACAAAAAGATAAATCAATCTTTCTGAAAGTAGCAGTAGCTGGGAGATTCTCTCTCACAGTGCATACCACATCCAGACAACGGAAGCAAATTTCCATTCGATAAAATGGAGCAGGACAGAAGGGAAGAAAAAAGTGGTCCTGGTTTAGGTGAAGGCATAAACTGTCTTGGGAAAGAAAAACGTCCAGGCCTCAACTCCACCTTGTCTCTATGCACAACCATAAAAGGTTCCTTGCAGGACAAAGCCGACAGGTCAGATACGCAACTCACAGAGGTGACGGCAACAAAGAATACCATCTTTTGTGGGTGAGAGAAATGTTTCTAATGGGTTCCCTAAAGCGTAGAGGGAACCACATTCAGATCTCACAGATTCACAAGGGGAATGAACAGAGGGAGCTACACAAGAGACTCCCTGCCTTACTCAAACAGTAAGAGGCCAGTGGTCTCTGAAAACAAATAAAAAGGGCAGAAACCTGACCCTTTAGAGTACTGAGAGCCAAATGCTGGTCCAGACCCAGCTACAAGAAAGAAGGGTATTTGTCCCATGGAGAAACACTTAAGGTGGAAACCCCAAGACTCAAATCAAGTGCAGTATGCTTTCCATTTTCAATGATAGACCTTGAGGGAAAGTAGCCCTCCTAGCCCTTCGCATCGTAGGAATCACAGCTTTTCACTTTAGCTGGGCACACCATTTTTACAATTTCTCACCTTTTTATTTATCTATAACTGCAGCTTTTAGAGTTTGTAAAAGACAAACCATATATTTTCTGAAAGTAATATGTTGCACACTGTTGCACGTATATAGTGTGTGTGTGTGTGTGTGTGCGTGTGCGTGCGTGTGCTTTCCCTTTTGAAATAGAAAAGGAATTTGAGGACACAGAGTTCTCATTCTCTTTCTGCAGCCTCTGTTCTGGATGAAAGGAAAGCACCAAGTACAGAGGCTTCCCATTTATTCACAAACTAGAGATGGTAAATGTTTACTATTACCCAGTCATGAATGGATATAAGCCTCTGTAGTGAGCTGCTTCTATCCATTCTGAAACTCATGAATGAACAGGAAGTGATGTAAAGCACTCTTCATTCAAAACTGGGGACACACACTATGGGGACTAGTTGTTTACAAAGTGATCACTCCAGTGTTTGTTCTGCACACAGACGATCGGTAATTATTATTACACATATTTACTGATCCTCTGCTCTCCATCCTGAACTGCTTGGCCAGGATCTGACAGCCGGCGGCTCTGCCTTCTCTTCATCGCTCAGCCATCCTGATGACAACACTCCCTCCTCTACCATGAACTTTTAGCAGAAGGGTGAAAGCCACCAGTGTAAGGCTTACCGACGTGGCCAGCTGCAAACGGTTGTGTTCCGCCGTAAGCCTTACATTGGTGGCAGGGAAAGGGTTAAAGCCAGTAACTGAAGCAGGATGGCAAATTGGCTCTTGAGAAAGCCAATACTGATAATTTGGCAGAGCCCATGGAGCACTTGCCATGAGTTTTACCAGGTCGGATACCACTTCACTAGACAAGCAGCCACACAGAGCTATTAGCAGAAAGTGAGCTGCAAGCACCCGCTCCAGAGCAACTGCACCCCCACCGCCCCTTCCCCCCTCTCTAAAATTAGGCATGTTGTCACTGTGTGGCAGTAAGGCAACATAAGGCTTAGGCTATGCAGGAAGGCTTCAGGTACTCATAAAACCCAGACAGCTGGTAGAAGGCGAGTTGGATGGCCAGTGGTAACCAAAAGTCACTGTAGGCGGTCAGTAGGGACTGATTAAAGATGGAAGATTGAAGTGGCTCTTTGCAAAGCAGGAGCATCAGTGGGGAGACGTCTCCTCAACAGTGTATGGTGGGAAAGAGCGTTGCATCAGTTCCACAGCGTTAACCCCTCCTGCAGTAGAAATCTGTGGACAATCAGGAACTTTAAAGGCGCCCAGCAACCTATATATTTAAGGTAACTCCCGGTGTGATTTAGAAACAGGCAAAGCACTGACGCTATTGTCAGCAGGTCTGCACTTGGAAAGCGCTCTGTGGCTAACCTTTTACCAGAATAAAATAGTGGAACCCAGTGCCCAAAGGTCAAAAAGCAAGGCTGAGGATGGCCATGCCAAATAGCTGCAATCAAAGAGACTAGTTCTAGCAGCAGTGCAGAGAGGAAAAAAAGAAAAAAAAAAAAAAAAGAAGAGGAAAAAAGAGAAAAAGAAAAGCGAAAAAGAAAGGAAAAAAGGAAAGGGAACCAGGAAAAAAGAAAAAGGTAAGGGAAAATGTAAAAGGAAAGGTAATAGGAAAGGGAAAAGGGAAAAGGAAAAAGGAAAGGTAAAAGGAAAGGTAAAAGAAAGGAGATATAGGGTAGTCTTTTACACACATTCTAGTAGTAGGAGGGGTTATCCTGGGCTGGCCTACAGTTTTTGTGTGCACAAGTGCCCATTTCTTCTGTAGACGGCAGTATAGCTGAAAGACTTCCCATGTCCCTCAACTGATGTAAAGGAAAATCACAGTACTAAGGTCACCAAGTTGTAATTAGTGATAATAGGTTTTTGATAGTGATTAAATATCACAGCGGATAATGAATTGTAAATGGTTTATAAGAATTTAGTTTCTGACAGAATAAGGGAGGGTTTACTATGTGCCCCTATTCAGCAGATTTTCACCACTTCCTGTCCTGGTGACACAACAGAAAGTAAAGAAATGTCACCAGAGGGGATAAAAGAAAAAAGCAGAAGTTGAAGTATTTTCCATTCTCCCAATAAAAATGCTTTCAGCGATATTGGTATCCCTTTTACAGTGATTATTAAATCCTGTCACAGTAACAGAGCAGGAAACGAGGGGAAATCTCTCCAAAACAACAATAAGAACTTGACAGACGTACTAGCCCTTCCCTATTCTTTCTGAAACAACTAATACATTTGATTGGTTCTATTAAATTCTTTACTAGTTGAACAAGGTAGATTCTATTTATATACTTCTTTGCTGTGGTATTACAGTTCATGCCCGATTTTATGCAGTATGTTAAAATATTTGCCAAAATACATTACAAAGATGTATTCTTTCACATTTCAATTTTTGGTCCCCCCAAAAAACACCTGATATAGCCTTTTCTTGCTCTTTCTTAACAATGTAAATAAATACATGTTCATCAGCCATACTAATGGAAAGGGAAGATGGGGTTGTAGGAACCATCGATGCCCCCACCACCACCACTGAACTGAATATGGCCATCATTGCACACTAACACAATTTTTCCCCACAAAGTGTTTTTTTTATGCCATTCAATAAGTGACACATTGCTTTATCTGATTGTAATGTTAAGAAAAAGTGGAGATCTACACAGAATGTCATCAAAAATAGACCACAGCATAGAAAAAGATTCTTTGCAACCACCTACCTCAAAGTCACACAATAGGTCTTGGAAGGCAGTTGAATTTGGGATAATGGAAGTCTCATGACCACTGTCCACTGTTCCCACCAAGGAGAAAGTGAGATGCAAAATGTGGCTGTTGAGAAGTCCTCTTTTCTTCTTCAGCAACATCGCTAGCAGCTACCATGAGCAAAACAGAAAAAGAAACCATCTAAGCATTGAAGATACATATATTAATGTAGTTTGTCAGAAACTATACCCTACTCATATAAGGCAAATAATCATAATAATGTAACAAGACTACACTGCCAGGAGTGTTGTGTGAGGAACTGCACTGAATAAGGAAAAAGTGAAAAGCAAATACTCGGGTAAAATATCCGGATGCATGCTGCGGAGCTGGAGGAGATGTACTACAGTTTGACCACAGTGACAAAGAGTCCACTGTTAGAAGCAAAAACTAAAGCCAAAGGATGGACAATATCATGTAGGGTAGAACTGTATCAAGTCTTAAAGTAAATAAATACACTATTCCCATCGCTCAGGCTTGTATCAAACCCTTCTAAAGAAAAATATTATTCTGAGGATTCAATATCACTATAAAAATAAATTAATTAAAAAATGTACAGTGCACCAAAGTAATGGATGTGGGGAAAATAAATGCAAGCATGAAGGAGAAAAGGATATCAAGAGGATACATGATGTCACATGACTTTTGAATTTTCTTAATGTTTGGTTAATTATATGCTATGGCTGTGAATAAGATCCTATGCACAAACAGATGTAATGAAGTATGGTAGGAAGTGATACATGGGTGCCCTATTTTTTTTGCAAATGTTTTGATTAATAGTTTATTGGTTGAATTCATGTGATTTTCACTAAAGCAGTAAGTTGTGTGTGTGTGTGTGTCTCATAAACCATTTACTAATAGGAGAATTCTCAAAGCAGCAATATCAATATATTAATTCCCTCTTTCTGTGAATATTAAACTAAAGTCTATAATTTACCTTTTTCTGACACGAGTGTCTAGTTTATTTCTGTACATAATGTCAACATATAGATTTTATTAAAAGCTACAATTTTGTTTATACTCGCTAATGTCACCAAACAAATATCTATGTGACATATTGAGTGAACCCAATTAACCTTAATAGGAATAACCTTGAAACACCCATATCTTACTAGTGACACTTTCATCTGCAGTTTGTTAAATGGAAATTTCCATCCTATGAGCACAAACAGCAATTGCAAAGCTTGTCAAAATAGATGATGAATGTTGGTTGCCTTGAGCATAATACTACCTGATGTAAGATGCAAATCTGCATTTCTTAATGAATATTTATTCACCCTACCAAGCCATTTATCTAGCTGAATCATATCTAGTCATCAACCTCCTGGTACAGGGAAGAATGTTTGCTACATATTACACTCAGTGTAAAATTCTGGTAAATATACCCTAGGCAACTTAATTTCATTGTTTCTGTGAGACAAATTATTCTGTACTCACTTATCGAAAAATCATATTTTTGATTAGAATACTGAGAAAAAATGAATACTGCCAGGTATGGGGGGGGGTCTGCATCTCACTCCTCCTCTGTTGTTTGCCGACTAGCCACTTAAGACTTCCAGCACAGTCACATGGGGACAAGGAGAGTCCTCAGCCCTGAGCCCCACACGACTGCTTCCTCCTGCTCTATTGGCAAAACGGAAAAGCGAGGAAGTAAAGGGAAAGTAAATATAGGCTGCTGGTGGGGCCAACATCGAAGTGAACCTGTTGCTCTGCCCTGTATAGACAAAGTACAGGTTTGCTTAAAAGAGAATAGCCAAACCTTTTTTCGGCTATAGTTCTCTTTTGGGCTCCTGTAACCCAAAGTCATCATATAGCAGGCTATTGCCTGCTATATGCGGATAGCGCAGAGCTGCGCTGCAGCCGGGAAAGATCCCAACAATTATGTCAGGATACACCCCACTGCCAGATTAACAGCTGGCTCCGTCAGGATACACCCCACTGCCAGATTAATAGCTGGCTCCGCCTCTCTAGAGGCGGGTCCAGCTATGTCCGCCCCCTCCCCTGTCTGTGTTTCTCCAGTGCTTATCGGAGGGACAGATGAGAGATGTGGGGGAAATCCTTGCGTGGAGCAGAGTGACAGTCACTGCTCTCTGCAGGGAAAAGCCATGAGCTGAGAGATCAGTGGCCAAAGCGATCACGTCTCAAAATATCCAGAGCAACCAATCAGATTCAAAAACTTTCATTCCCAATCATTTTTTTTAAATGTTTAAATATAATTTCAGCAGCAGTGAGGTCTTATTTAAGATCTATGCATAATATATTTGCATTGTGTTTTTTTTTTCTTTGCATAACCATGTTATGGAGCTTTCTTTCAGTATGTATGTTTTCATTTTGGACAGACCTGGTAACCTCTAATCCTTTCCATCTCTTTGCTGGCAAGTGGGTTGCTTTTTACCACACACACAAGAGCCTTGACTGCTGCATAGAGGCCTTCAACATCTGATGCCATCGCCACTAGTCCGAGAATGGCAGCTGCTCCTCCTATGTATTGCAAAGTTATAGCTACAGGTTTTGGGACAAACGTTCTCACTCCTAAAATACATAAAAACAATTAATTTAAACTTTCTTTTTTTAAGCAGTAATTGCATTACTAATGCAGATTTACAAATGCTCTATAAAACAGCTCACAATTTTAAACTTGATTCAGGGGCTCTGCAAATACCCCTTCCATCAGGGCTTACTAAGGGAGAACATGCATCAGGACTGTGATGACTTAAAACTTGATACCGTTTTGTGCATTGTGTGAGACTGCACAGAGCTCTTCAGTAGCTGAGTTGGCTGACAAATCAATGTTAAGTAAATCACAGTCCTGATGCATGTTCTCCCTCAGCCCTAATGAAGGGGGTATTTGTGTGAGCCCCCGAAACGGATTCTCCATTTCTATACTGTCCTCTCAACCCTATAATGAAAAGGAGTGATGAACTTCAATTCACAATCCTGAAATCTGACACTACAAACCAAGGAGACAGTGGAGATCCTCTGGAATCTAGAAGCTGCCTGTCCAGCAGTCAGATCACCTACACCAACTCTTTTACATCATAATTGGCTGGCCACACCAATAGGATAAACTCTTGTGGGTCCAGCACCGTTATTCCACCTCTTTCCAGTAGAAGAAATGGATGAGGCACACTGCAAGGTTGAAAATTACGTACTTCCCTTATCAAGGTGCCTGTCGGATTGAAATAAGAATTCCTGCAACACCTGGTTTACGGTTTCATAATCCAAATGCAAGTTATGATGGAGCAGTGTGCCTTTTTCATTTAGTAAAGTAATGTGAGTGATTTGTGTATTATGTGGGTATGTGATTTGTTTTCTGAAAACCTGTCACTTTTTGCATTTCGGCTAATGTGTTCTATACGTAAACCGGAGCACAAACTGACTTTCTCTTCTTATTGGGTTCGACTAAAGAATGTGTTGTATACTTAAACCTGAGCACAAACCGACTCTCTCTCTTCTTATTGGGGGAGATACAAGTCCATTTAATGCATGCATCTAGTCACACAAGAGAAAAGCTTTTCTAGAAGGGCTACTAAAGGCTATTTTGGAAAGAGGGAAATATGACCTATGGCATCTATTTAAACCAGAACCAGAAAGTAACAGATGATAGTACAATCGATACTTTCACTGTACTTTACTTTCCCTACACTTTTATACAATGTATACCCTTAAACAATAAAAACAACACAAATAATAGAAACCGTTACCTAGGTAACCAATGAGTGCTGCTCCTATGGTCCGAGCTGGTCCATTCAAATGTCCAGCTGAATTGTGTAGCAGTTTCACTGGGGTGGCATTTTCATGAGATGATATTGCCAGCTACAAATAACAAAAAACACAAATAAGCTTATTGCCTGCATCCAAAGTTCTAAACTAAATAAAGGCAAGAAGGAGAAATAAAGGACACCTTCTGAGCAACTGCAGAGGCTGTTACTACTGACTTCCATGTTTAAAAATACTAGTTTCCTGGCTGTCATGTTGTTTTCGTGACTTTAGTCTGCCATTCCTTATCAACATGCATGTTATGGGTCTCTGAAAGTATTCAAGCCATGCAAATAGTATTTTTAGAGGTACATAAGCAATGGGAACCCCAGTATTTATCTCAGTATTGGTTTAATTGAAATCACAAGATTCAAACCTTAAAAACTTTATCAATTTAAAGATTCCCCACCAACTGGCATACCACTTTATATGTACTATATTTGCCATTAGTTAATGGCAAGCCATAATTCAAGTGATGTGATGTACCTCCCATAGTATGCGGGTTTCTTAGGTCAGGGTCTATCCTTCATGTCTATACTGCTGCGTGTTATCAATGGTCTCTCTTATTTAAAGGAGAACTATGGGGTCAGGGCTTTTCACCATAGTTCTCCTTAGGGTAACGGGAGGACACAAACTAGCGCCCTCCCGTTATCGTAAGCTCAGTATACTGAGACGCCGCAGCCGGAGCGGATCCCGACATCAATGTCGAGATCCGCCCAGCTGCGTGAGTGACAGCTGGCTCTGCCTATCTAGAGGCAGAGCCAGCTGTACCCGCCCCCTCCCCCATCCGTTCCGCCAGTCAGCACTGGCGGATCGGAGCGGGGAGGGGGGAATCCAGCCCCTCCCCTGTCACGGCAGAGAGCCGTGACTGGATCAAGAGGTGTGCGAACGTCGGTATATGTCCGCTCACCTCCCGATCTACTGAGCCGACCTGTGACAGTCTCATTGTCACAGGTCGGCTAGAACTATGAGGTGAGTGAAAAGAAAAGAACCTCATAGTTCTCTTTTAAGAAAAGTTTTTAAGAGTTAGTGCAGGATATCTAAAAGTCAGTTCAGTGTATCAGTCATACTAGTTACATGTAAAACAACTTCTGTGTTATACAGATCATGCAGCTACCTACTCATAAAATAAAAAGCAATAATGAAAAAAAAAATCTAATTTTCTTTATAGCTCTGTATGAAGGGCAAGGCCAGCACATTAAACCTAACCATTTAAAACTATTGTACACAACAAATTCTCTTATGTCAAAAACATATTTGTTGCTCAAACATAAATTAAAATGCAGCTTTTAGAAACAAAATGACCAAAAAAGGAATAGTAAACCTTAAATATCTCAAATACATAAACGATATTGCCAAAAGTATTTGGGACACCCCTCCAAATCATTGGATTCAGGTGTTCTGTGAAATAGCTTTGCTACTAAATATTCCACGGTCAACTGTTAGTGGTATTATAACAAAGTGGAAGCAACTGGGAACAACAGCCACTCAGCCACAAAGTGGTAGGCCACATAAAATGACAGAGTGGGGTCAGCGCATGCTGAAGCACACAGTGCACAGAAGTCGCCAACTGTCTGCAGATTTAATAGCTACAGACCTCCAACCTTCTTGTGGCCTTCAGATTGGCACAACAACAGTGCGTAGAGAGCTTCATGGAATGGGTTTCCATGGCCAAGCAGCTGCATCCTAGCCTTACATCACCAAGTGCAATGCAAAGCGTCGGAATCAGTGGTGTAAAGAATGACGCCACTGGACTCTAGAGAAGTGAAGATGTGTTCTCTGGAGTGACGAATCATGCTTCTGTGTCTGGCAATCCGATGGACGTGTCTGGGTTTGGCGGTTGCCAGGAGAACGGTACTTGCCTGACCGCATTATGCCAAGTGTAAAGTTTGGTGGAGGGGGGATTATGGTGTGGGGTTGTTTTTCAGGGGTTGGGCTTGGCCCCTTCGTTCCAGTGAAGGGAACTCTTAAGGCATCAGCATACCAAGACATGTTGGACAATTTCATGCTCCCAACATTGTGGTAACAGTTTGGGGATGGCCCCTTCCTGTTCCAACATGATTGCGCACCAGTGCACAAAGCAAGGTCCATAAAGACATGGATGAGCGATTTTGGGGTGGAGGAGCATGACTGGCCTGCACAGAGTCCTGACCTCAACCCAATAGAACACCTTTGGGATGAATTAGTGTGGAGACTGTGAGCCAGGCCTTCTCATCTGACATCAGTACCTGACCTCACAAATGTGCTTCTGGAAGAATGGTCAAACATTCCCATAGACACACTCCTAAACCTTGTGGACAGCCTTCCCAGAAGAGTTGAAGCTGTTATAGCGGCAAAGGGTGGGCCAACTCAATATTGAACCTTACAGACTAAGACTGAGAGGCCATTAAAGTTCATGTGCGTATAAAGGCAGGCGTCCAAATACTTATGGTAATATAGTGTATATTGGTATATACACAATCTTGTACCTTACCTGCTTTGCAATTGCTTTGCTATCCAATTTGTTATAAACTTTTCTTATTCTTGCAACTGTTAAAGATGACACAGAAAGTGCATAGAGTCCAAAGGATACCTTTTCCTCTGGTACTAGTGACACCATAGATGGGGTACCAGATTCAGACTTGGAATCTTTACCTGTAAGATAAAAGCCACATCTTATTTAGCAACGGATAGGGTACGCCGGTTTGTAAAAGATTAACCTGCCAGTCTCAGGACTATATGACCATTGTTACATAAGAAAATCAACATTTTCTTCCTCCACCTTTGAACTAATCTATTAGTAAGTGCATTATTCTTTCTTAAAATTCCAGACGCACGGTTTTAATTATTGTCTGTATAGATAAAATAATCATGTTTGGTCGGTCCCTAAACCCGTCTCTGTTCAATTTTAAACTGGTCATCATATTATCTCAAACTCTGTAAACCGCCACAAATTTATAAGGTAAATTAGCTCTGATTTGCTTGTTTAAAGTGGATTTCCACTACAGACAAATTGGGATAACATCTATCTTATATTTGTTACATCTTATTCACATATACAAATTGCACAATATTCACAAATAAAAATTGCTGCTTACATATTACTTTTTTTTTCTCAATGGAATTTTGAATGCAAAGGGGGTGGGGAAGTAAATGTTCACCATAACTAACCCTGTTTGTACTGTGCTGGAAATTCAGATTAACAGTTGTAAACGACATTTGTCCTAACAAAGAGTTAGTAATCTGGAATCATAGTATGTTAATGAGAGAAAGCCCTCAGCATCCTTAGTCTTTCTATGGAGACAGACAGTTTCTTGGCACTCTGAAATTGTACAGAGTAATTTGCAGTTTGTCCAAGGGCCTGCTCTACAGACATATAAAAAGGTAAGAATATTTTATTTTTAGGTATACGGTGTGAATAAAAACAAAAACATAATGGGATTTTCTTGAATTTTTCTGCAAAAGTGGAAATACACTTTAAGCATGGCCAACTGTACATAGAATACATGGTACTAGGGTCATAACACTGAAAGGAGGAATTTATGAAAGCAAAATACCTAACCAGCAATATTCCGTCATCACAAAAATACAATTTTGCAGTGTTTGCTACCTTAAAGTGACATTAAACCCTCAGATTTTTTAACATAAAACAATAGTGTAACGTGTGCCTTACTGTAATCCATGGTTGTTTCCCTTCTCTTTGCTGCTCTTCCTTTTAAATCTGTATCTGTTCTCATGCTGGGCAGAACTTCTGTTTTGCAGCAGACTGCCTTGCCTCAGGAATGGATACATGGTGTCTGTGTGTAGGTTTGTAACCTGAGCCAGCACTACAGGAAGAGGCACTCAGCTGCAAAGGGAAGTTCTCCCCAAGCATGAGAAGACATGAGGATATAAAAGGAAGAGCAGCAAAGAGAAGGGAAACTACAATGGATTACAGTATTGGTTTATGTTAACAAATCTGAGGGTTTAATGTCACTTTAAGTTCTAAAAGATTTTGTATCAAATCGTTACCACAGTGGTCTTTTTTCTTTGTGGAGAATTGCATTTTAAAAGTGAGCAGTTTCACCTTTTTTTCTTTTCTTTTCTTTACTAAGCTCACTGAACATTCACTTTGCTAAGTGATGGAGCTTCACTCTTTTAGTAAACCATCCCCACTGTATTTTTAAATACAGCTGTAAATACACGAATTTATGCCCACAACCACCCCATGTACAACACTAGAACAGGACAGAATTGTGTCATAAAAATATCTATATAAACAGAATGATTTAATTTGTAAAAGCAAAATACAATATAAAAAGGCACATACAGTGAAAAATTCAACTGTACACCATAATTTGCAACATGATAATATTTCACAGGGGCACAGACACAACTCTATCAACACGTACTTTAAAAAATATAAATAAGTGATGGCAATACATTTTTAATCAGAGTTAAAACATATCTGTATTCACTTACATGGAGAGCAGACTGCCTGAAAGCTTCCAACATAATTTGGTCCCAGTTCATATACAACACCAACACTTGCTGCAGTCAAGACTTCCTCCAAAAAGTGAGTTGGTCCCAGGCGCCACACCAGCGAGGAAAGCTGGCGCTGAGCTGGAGGAGTGCCAATGTAAGTATAGACTGTGCTAACGACTGGTGGGTTGACCGAACCAGATCCCCCTGGGGTACTATGTACATAGTGCAGCTATATTGATACAAATAAAAGCCATTTAAATTGTCTTACTGGATTTTTTTTAAAGGACATACAAAATTCAATATTTATTAGAAAAAAGTAGAAGAAAAACATTTAAAGACATTCTACATTTGTAATTATACACAAAACAAAAATTTTTAATAATTCTTGTAAATAGAACTTAGTATTGTAAAGTGTTCTCACTTTAAATTAGCAAATAACTACCACCATTACAAATAATTCTAAATATAAATACAAAATAATTGGGCTTTTTGATAAATGAGGCCAATTATATTTTCTACAGTGACATTGGTAATAAAGATAAAAAAAGACTGTTCAAGAAGTTCAACTTCTTGCAACTGATGATTATGTCTAGGGGAAGGAAGACAAACCCCCCTGTGGAAATTGCAAGGCAATTATCCAATCCTTTATTGAATACTACAATTGTTTTGAAATTTAAAAATGGCTCCCAGAAAATGAATTTAACAATTTAGATCATTCACGGCATCTAACAAGCACAGGGGGGACAATCTTCATTAATTGTGAAGCTGGACTGATGCAAGCTCAGAAAAGTGTATAATAAAGAAAAATTCTGTTTAAATTCCATTATTTTTTTGCATTACTACTGAATGCAGTAAAACATTTTACAGCTTAACTATTCCTGCTGTAAAAAACCCCTTCCTAATCAGGTTGTAAAAAAACATGCAACTGACAAGCAGTGCTGCCAAGTATATCGTAACTAGTATTCCCAAGTCCTTCTCCATCTCTGTTATGACCAACTGTATTCCATTTATTATATACGGGGTAATTATACTTATAACTGTAGCCTAGGTTATTAGCCTTACACATAAAATTTCATTTGTCACCCAAATCTCATGTTGACATTTTCTCTAGACCCTTCCACAATATGTCACTAACCTGCTGAAACCCAACAACCCCACATAATTGTGTGTCATTCAAGAAAAGTAATAATACGATCTATATTCCTAGTGCCCAAAAAGCAGCTCAGTGCTTAGCATGTGGCCCGCTGTGTTTCAGACTTTAAATCAGGTATGGAGCAAACCTGCAAAAAACGTAGTAGTAGCAACTTCTGCAAGCTTTAGCACCAGAACCACCGACTGTCACTGATGAAATGAACAGCCCCATTCCTTTATTAAATTTAATCAAGTGTAATAAAATATATTTTAAAAATCCCATCTTAAATATGGTGGATGCTCTAGATGACATTTGCTTTTACTGTTTGGGAGTCAAACACTTACATAAGCAAGTGACGAAGGGCAAACTAACTTAGCAATCTTGGCTTTTTGGTAGGTCTATTAACCAGTTGACATCCGCGGTGTTAAACCCCCTTCCCATCCAGGCCATTTTTCAGTATTCAGCGCTGCGGTACTTTGACTGACATTTATTCCGTCATGCAGCGCTGTACTGAAATGAATTTTATACCCTTTTTTGGGGACAGATAGAGCTTTCTTTTGGTGGTATTTATTCACCACTGGGGGTTT